TTGATTACGGCCTCCTAGGTCTATTTAGGTCGACAGTGTTGCTAACAACTCGCCAAGGGGAAGTAAAGAGATGAAGATAGGAAACAAGCAGCTGTGGCCACACAGACAAGTCAATGCTCAGGGAGGAGGCTGTGGAGGGGTGAAACCAGGACATGAAATTGTGAAGCTCACAGGGGTAAACCAGTCTAAGCATCAAAAACAAGGTTAAGGGCTTCCCTGGTGGCACAGTGGTTGAGAGTCCGCCCGCCGATGCAGGGGACACGGGTTCGTGCCCCGGTCCGGGAGGATCCCACATGCCGTGGAGCGGCTGGGCCCGTGAGCCATGGCCGCTGAGCCTGCGCGTCCGGAGCCTGTGCTCCGCAACGGGAGAGGCCACAACAGTGAGAGGCCCGCATACAGCAAAAAAAAAAAAAAAAAACGTTAAAAGGTTACCATAATAATATTTATGGAGCACTTATATATTATATCACATGTATTATATATATATATGTCAGGCATGGCACTAAGCCCTTTCTACGCATCACCTTTGAGCCACAAATAACCCTATGAAGTGGGTACTACTATGAGTCCTATTTTTAGCACACAAGTTGGAAGGAGTTTAGAGATGAATGAAGGAAGACTCAGAGTAGTTAAATAACCTGTCCAAGGTGAGGATGGGAGAACTTAAAGCTAGAGGTCTGACTTCCAGTTTCCTGATGAGAATCTGTGTCCCACTGTATTCTCTGGGGTGTCCTTCAAAGGTGGCAAGATAAAGGAAGAAAGATCCCCACCTTGTAAGGGCTACATTCCCACTAATGACACAGGAAGCTGAGGTTTCTTTTAAAAGCCGTTACCTCAAGCATATTAATCTCCACTCATAACGACTGGCTACAGACACAGTTAGTAACAGCGCAATACAACTTCACACCCCTTTCATCCAAGGGTTTCAAAGGGCTTCGTCAATGCTAATTATGCCCCAAACCCTTGTGATGTGGTGGCTGGTTCAATTTTATGAGCATTTAAAGTCAAGCAAGGAAGCTCCCAGCAGCCCGGGGGTTACACAATTTGAACACACACCTACCAGCCGTCCTCAAGTGCCTGGTGGAGGGCAATTCAGAGTTGAGGCGACAGCCAGCAGGGCTCCTGACATTAAGTCCCTCCTCCAAACCTCAGCACTGGAAACTGTGAAATGGTGGTGTCCAGGTCTACTGGCAGGGAGGGAGGAGGACAGCAACGCGAGCCTCCAGCTCTGGACACTGCTGGGAGACTTCTCGACCCCGTATGCTCTGCTTTTGGCTGAGGAACCACCCGGGGGTTTTCACCAAAGTTATTCAAAGTGTTAAGTGCTCATAAGTACATGTGGACGGCTAACCCAGGACAGGGATTCGATCTTGGGATCAGTGACTCTGTGCCTTACGAAAAGGTGCAGACTGAAACACCGGTGCTCCCACTGAGGGGCAGGTTCAAGCTATGGCTCCAACAGACCCAGCCATCAAGGGAAGGGGGCAGCAGACCCAAAGTCACTTCCCTCTCTGCTTCAGCTTACCGATACAGATTTTGAAGACCAGCAGACCTGGGCTGGGGTCCTGGCTCTGCTACTTACTGCTGTGTGACTTCAGGGCAATCACTCTGAAGCCTCAGCTTCCCCTCTGAAAAATGAAGCTGACTGTAAACCCTCATGTAATAAATATTAAAACAATTCTAGCTGCTACCATTATTATTTTTACAATTTTTATTTTTATCATCGTCATTAGCAACAGCTCTAAGGACCTTTCTGGCTCTGATCTTCTCTGATCCAAGAACTGACCTTTCACCAGCTACAACTCTGAAAGAAAAGAAACTGTTCGCAGAAAAGCAGCCAAAGGTCGCAGAGGCAGGAAACCTTGGATACTGGTACCCAAGTGAAAGCTCAGCTCAGATCTCCTGTTCCAGCGCCTGCTTTACACCTGCCGACAACGACTGTCATCCCTTGCTATTTAAACGGAACTCTCACAGTCCCTTGGGCTTAAAATGCTAACAGTTAAGTATAAACTGCATTCTGGCTTGCTCTGAGGGTTACTCATATTCAAATACAAGGGAGGCAGCAGGCTGGCTAATGGGCTCTGCTACACCCGTGACCTGGCTTCAGGCCAGCTCCCTGACGTTTACCTTCTCCAGCAGGTAAGGCGTTACCTTATCTACGACTGCTATTTCGACACTTAATAACCAGTATCAGGGAGAGAAGGGGCCTTGCAGAGTGCTCAGCACAATGTAGGCAAGAGGAAGTGGTGGATAAAACCACGGGCTCTGGCAGAGCACAGGCTTGTTTCAAATTCCAGTTTTATGACCTATTGACTGTGTGGTCTTGGGAAAGTTAATTAACATCTCTGTGCCAGTTTCCTCATTTGTAAAATGGGGATATAATAGTACTTACCTTATGGGACTTTTGTGAGGATTAACACAGTCCCTGTTATAGTAAACACACAACAAATGTTAGTTGCTATTACTATGATGATCAGTTGTGAATTGGCTATAAAAGTGTGGATAAAGGACCTATATTTTCCTGCCAGGAAGACTGACAAAGGCTTCATGAAAAAGGTGATATTTGAGCTGGAGCTGGAAGGGTGGGTAGGATTACCACAGGCAGAAAACTGGAGATGGTACAGGCAGCTTCAGTTTCCTTTTCTGTAAATTCAGGTCATCCTCATAACTACCCTATAGGATGAACTTAATGCTGATGTGCAGAGGAATTACATGACTTTCCCCAAGTTATAATGCTACAAAGTGATAGAGCTGGGACTGGAAGCCAGGTCTCCCTGATTCCAAAGGCCATGCTCTTAACACCCTGCTGAATCTCTCTTTTTGTGCCAAATTCTGTCCTAAAGGGTAGATACTTGTGGAAATGGCTTCCCCGCCACCCTTCTAGACTCCTTCAGGGAGAAGAGATCTCAATTACCTACATAGCTCCCGCCCCACCCAGCATAGGCACGTATATGGCAGGTGCTCAGTTGAGAGACCTGTTTGCTAAATAGAAGTGAGGCCCGACTCTTGCAGGCTGAAACAGAGCCTCCAGTGTCAGAGACCCGCAGGGATGCCGACCCTCGGACAGCTCAGCCTGTTGGTCTCACAGACCACCTTCCCCCAACAACCAGAATCCATTCCCTGCTGGGTAGGGTGAGGGCAGGGCTGTAACTCAGGGCAAACTGCTTGTTTCTAGCCATCCCCCGATCAACGTGGACTTGGGGCCTCTCAATGTTTTCCCCAAAGGTAGGAGAGGCCTCCAGGAAAACCCACCCAGCCACAAGCCCACAGTGTGGAGACACCATGTTTGCTGGAGGACCCCACCCCCAGCCACTACTGATTGGACGAATGTAGACACCTGACCCAAGCTGGGCCAATCAGATCCTCCCTCTTTTGAACGTGTTATTAAGAGTTCTACCACCTTTCAAGCCCCACGGCCCTTCTTGCCCCTGGGCTCCATGAGCTACCCTGTAGCCTTATAATAATTTTACCTTTCCCTTCAGCGTCTCTGAAATGGATTTTTATTCCTTGCAACCAAAATAGCCTTAAAATCAAAGAGGAAAGAGACAGCTTCCCCTTAGAACCCCTTCCCCTTCCCCCAGGCAGAATTAACTACTCCTTCCTCTGCTCTGTGCACCTTCATCTGTTCCTGTTTGTAACCACGAGACATTTCTGAGTCAAGCGGTGAGTCAAGCCCCTCCTGCATGCCTAGCGCGGGGCTACGTGCTTTCTCATTGATCCATGCAGCCGAGGAGGGATGAGGGATGGAGGGAGGTGTTGCTACCACCATCCTACCCGTAAGAGAAGCTCTGAGGGTTACCTAAGCCCTACATCTAATCACTTAGATAGGAACAGGTAGGGATTTGAAGCCTAGCCTTCTTCCCTTTATTCTCCCTGGTACTTCGGTTAGCTTATCACCCTTTGTTCACATGCCTATCCGCCACCTCAATTCTTAAGCTTTTTGGTAGAGTCACTATGACTTATTTACCTTTTCTCTGGCATGAAGATACTTCTGTAATAAGTAACTGAATAAAATTTGTGATTAAAATGGAAACTTATTAGACACCTCATCAGGGAGAGTGTTCTGTGTTTGTCTATTTGGCATCCATTCACCACAAGGGCAATTATATTAACTATATTTTCTTATTTTCTGTATTCTTGATGCACTGGCATTTGTGACCTCGCTTGCTGGGGAGAGACTGCCTCTTCCAGGGCTATCCAATTCTTTTTTTTTGCAGTATGCGGGCCTCTCACTGTTGTGGCCTCTCCCGTTGCGGAGCACAGGCTCCAGACACGCAGGCTCAGCGGCCATGGCTCACGGGCCCAGCCGCTCCGTGGCATGTGGGATCTTCCTGGACCGGGGCACGAACCCGTATCCTCTGCATCGGCAGGCAGACTCTCAACCACTGCGCCACCAGGGCAGCCCTATCCAATTCTTAGAGATAGCAAAGGGGCATGATCTCTGGGATGGTCACTGCAGCATTTACAGCCATCCCAGATTAGAAACAACCTAAACTTCCAACAATAGGAGGTCTTTCCAGCAAATTTTGATACAGCAGCTCAACAGATTACTGAGCAATCATTCAGAAAGCATGCTTTCAATCACTACTCAATGATGTGGGGAAATAGTCCACAAATAAGGTTAAGGGAAACAACCAAGAAACAAAACTCTCTGTACAATCTGATCCCCAATCTGTAATACCAGAAAAAGACAGGAAGGAAATACACAGAAATATGAACAAAGGTTGTCTGAGTAATGGAGCAGGTGATTTTTTTAAAAAATCAAGTCTTCTAAGTGGGAATGAATTCCTTTTAAAATATTTCTCTACCTTCCTATTTTTACGTATTTTAATGAACATTTCTTTTGATTACACATTCTCTTGTACGCGTGGAGGGTCTGCCTGTTTCTGCCAGCGATAGGCACGCGGACCCTGGATGTATCTGTTAGCCAATGCTGCACCGTGTTACTTTCTTGTTAGAAAAATATAAAATTCCCAAACCAAAAAAATAAAAGCTCTTGCCTTGTAGGAGAAGGAAGCCTCACTCACAGGGTCAGCACTGCTCGCGGGCGGGAGCTGCTGCAGCTGCAGGGCTGCTCTGTGGGCTCCGTCCATGGTGGTCTAAGGGTACATCCCACCGGGCCTGGTTTGGCAGCTGCAGCTGCTGCTAAGCCATCTTTCCTTGTGGGGTTCGCCTCCTTCCACCAGCCATCACTTTCCCACACGGAAGGAGTACTTCAAGGCTCTTTTGGCCAATTTACAGCCTTTTCCTCATCTTCCCTCAGAGACGTGCCAGTTTCTAGGTCTCTTCCCAGGCACACAGACAGGGATGCGTTTCCTGATTCTCGCGGTGCTCTAGAGGGTGGGGAAGAACATTAAAAATGCATGTACAATGAAACGTTGAAACATTATCATATCAAATAAAGATATGGCTCACCTACCTCAAAGCCTTTTCCCGGCCCTTTAAAAACCCCATCCCTCGCCTCCTTTGCTTCCTTCCTTCCATCACATCCTAATTTAAATGCTACTTTTCTATAGGCTCCCCTACATAAGAAGTAGAACACTACCTACATCTACTTCTCCAGGACTCCAAAGAAAGAAAAAAATCCCACTGCCATAAAAAAGGAACCATCTACATTCTGATGCAGGAAAGAAAGAATGAGAAGAAAAGTTATCTCCATGGAAGATGGAAGAATTGTCCTGCTTCTGAGGGTCAGCCTAGCACAGGTGATACAACATTGGACCAGGAGGAGGAAGACCTAAATAACCAGATCATTTTGCCTCTGGAGTCTCAGTTGCCTCATCTGTAGAACAGGGGTAAAATCTGGCCTCAAGTAAAACCAGCAATGACGGTAATTCCCATTAACTTCATTGGACTGATATTTTCAGGGCATCTCAAGCTTTTCTACCAAATAGAGAAAGAGGAAGTACGCCCTTAGTGTTATAGGAAGCATGGCCAAAATACCTTCTGCAAGTGCTAAGGGATTCTTTGACGTCTTCTTATATTAAAAAAAAAAAAAAAATCATACAAATTTGGATTCTACTGCAAAGTCTATGTTTATTTACTTTATTTTTTTTGCGGTACGCGGGCCTCTCACTGTTGTGGCCTCTCCTGTTGCGGAGCACAGGCTCCGGACGCGCAGGCTCAGCGGCCATGGCTCACGGGCCCAGCCGCTCTGCGGCATGTGGGATCCTCCCGGACCGGGGCACGAACCCGTGTCCCCTGCATCGGCAGGTGGACTCTCAACCACTGCGCCACCAGGGAAGCCCTATGTTTATTTTAATAAAAAAATATTTTAAATTACTTTTGATCCGCCATGTGCTACCTGTTTTACATTGGCCAAGTCATTTAACTTTTCAGCCAGTCTCCTCTGCTGTGAAATATGGATATTCGAAGCCCATGTGTTTTGAGAATTTGGTGAAATAATGCATATAAAATATGTGCACAGTGAATGGTCAATGAATGTCAGTTATTATTAGTATTAATTTTATTATTATCGGTCTAATTATTTAATTTGCCTATGAATACACCTTTCTTTCTCTCAAGCAACGAATATTTGAGGGCTTACTGCGTGCCAAACAAAGTCTCTGCTGTGCCTCAAGGTGTCAGAAAGCTGCCTCCTATCTTTCCTGTAGCTTCCAGTTCCTTGTTATCTAGCCCTAGGCCCAGGAATTCTGGTTCCTGGTGTGAACAGCACAGTCTTATGTCATAGGACTAACACTGAGTCCGGTATCTAGGAGACATCAGATGCAGGGCTTAGCACAGGGGCAGCACTTAGACAATGTAGCCCAGGTCTCACTTTGTCAAATGGCCTCAAAGTTAAATGATTGCTTCTGCCTCTAGATGAGGTTATGTATTCAGTATATATATACCTGAAATACACTCATCAGACAACTTCGTAACTCACATCCCATAACCAGACCTCCCTGACTGTAAAGCCCTACGAATATTTGTTTGTAATCTTGTGAAAAGCGTAATTATTCTTCACTATACTTTTATGCCTTAGGAAGGAAGGGTGGCCCAGGGTTCCCTTGATCTCTGAGACCCTCTTAGAGGCTTTCAGCCTGGAGGTGAAGAGGGGCACTGGAGCACAAATTCTAGGAAGCAGTTTGCTGAATCCCCTGCTCCGTTGCTCCCTGCCGAGATCTAGCCCAGAGCCTGGCACGGTGACCTCCATACATACCTGCTGACTGGCTATAGACAGGCCTGTGAAGCACCTGGTGCACCGTGGCTGCTTCACGGGCAAGAAGAGAACGGATTACTCAGGCCTAACCAACCACGACTCCAGAGAGATACAGCCCGTATAGCCAGCCCCGCCCACAGCACGTCAGAGAGGCCTCAGGGATGTGCCAAGGGGCTGATGGGAATCCAGGCCCCTAACGAACCTCGTTTGGATCAGCTGGTTCCTCCAGGTGGGTTTCTGTTTTTGCCCTCCTTTGTAGCGGCTGTGGTTACTCTCATTTAATTCGCTTTGAAAAAGCAGCTTCCCTCTCTGCCTCAGGAAACCCAGGCCTCTGAGGCATCATGGCCTGCAAAGACAGAAAACTCTCCCTCAGCTGGGTAGCCGTTGGGACTAAAAGCCTTGGAGGAACTCTGCAAGTTGCCCTTCCTTATAAGGCACACATTCTTTGCCCAGCGACTCTCTTTTCCTGACTTCAAAGCACTTTTCCAGGACTAATACATGCCCTAGAGGCAAGGAGCCAACTCTGTACTGCAGCCGCCCCTTAATTTTGAGGCCCCACAGCCACCAGTGAGCACAGGCTCCCTGACTCAAAAAAGGAAAGATAACTCACTAGGTGATGGCTTCCACTCCATCCCCCAGCCCTCGTCTCAATGAATTACTTCACTGACCCACAGAATACGGTTTCCCAGCCTAGAGAAACGTAGCTCGTGGCTGCTAAGAGTCGGGTCTTGGCTCTGCCTGAAAAACTCAAACACGCCCTTTCCCAACACCTGCAAATTCAGCTTCCGGTTGCTGAGTGCCAGTTACAGGCCAAGCGCTTTCCCTTTCCTGGGCTTTGGCTCACTAAAGGGTTACACGCTAAAGTCCCCACCCGATGCGCAGGAAACAACTTCCAGAGGCCGGCACGGATCAAGAAGGCCTTCTCTCATCCACCTGATAACTCCACCATCTGCTATCGCCCAAGCCGGCGTGTATAGGAACAATTTAGGCGAAGTTACTCTAGTTCACTTCCTGATTCGGTAACGCCTGGCATCACCTTTACTAAGGCAAATCCATGCCCCTCTCCTCGATGCGAAAATGGAAAAAGCATTCTGAGGCAATGAGACCCAAAATGACAAGGAAGATATTTACGGTAGATGATCACAAATGCATTCGCTTTTCCTGAAACGAAGGGTGAATTCAAGTCCCCCTTCCCCCGCCCTTAGTCTTAATCACTACTCACCGGCGGCGTTTCCGCTAAGGCCCACCTATCAGAGGTTTCTGAGCAATGACTTAGACTCTTCGCGCAACCCGGAGGCACAGCCTCCCAGATTCCTTCCCCAACCCAGAGCTGCCCGAGGGCAGCAGTGTTTTGCTTTCAAGGCCGCGATTTGACTTGCCAGACAGCCTGCCAGTCAAAAGCTGGCAGGCATTTGGCGCAGGCGAGTGGCTGCGAGGAGGGGGTGGGCGGGACAGACCTCCGGCATTGGCTCCGCCGAGAAGCTTGCTTGAAGCGTAGGGGGAGAGCCTTGAGGAGGCGGCGCCCCGCAGGAGCTTTGCGCTCGCCTGGAGAGGGTCCCCTCTAGCGGCCACAGGAAACACGTTGTAACAAAACTCCGCTCCCTCCTCGGGCTGTGTCTGGAAAGCTCCGGTGACTTGCTCACTCCACTTGCCCTACAGGTGGGCAGCCTGCCAGGTGTCCTGCCTCCTTATCCTCAGAGCCCCCTCCCGGGCTTTGCTCCTGCTGTTGCCCCACCCCCCGCTCTCACCAGGTATTCAAATCCTACACATTTTTCAAGGCCCGGTTCCTCCCAAAGCCGCGGGGCATAAAAGTCTCTCCTTGCCTATCCTCCCGGAACACCTGTTGGCAGCACAATATACCAACCCTCCCGGTACGTCCCCAGCTCAGCAATACTTAAGGTCCACCAGTAAGTCCAGCACTTGAATGCTTCCGTAATGTACAAGTGTAATAATTATAATTGCCTCGAGGATATATTGTACAATACAGGGAATATAGCCAATATTTTATAATAACTATAAATGGAGTATAAACCTTAAAAAATTGTGAATCACTATACTGTACACCTGTAACATATAATATTGTACAGCAACTATATTTCAATTTAAAAATTAAAATTTTTAAAAATGAGTTGTATTTAAAAAATAATTAATACGTGCATGGAGCTTCTGCTTTTTCACTCACGTGCATTTCATTTCAGATCCTCTCAACAACCCCCTGAGCGAGACATTGGGCTCATGCCCATTTTACAGGTGAAGACATGACATTTGGACAGAGACCTCGATGATGAGAAAGAGGCAGTTGTGGTTCAGACCCTGACACCAAGCGAACTCAGAGGGAACACCCGAGAGCAGGACGAGGTTGACATATTGTAGGAACTGCCCAAAGGACAGCGTGGCTGGTGCGAGATTTTTCTGGCGCGTGGGAAGGGGGAGCGGGACGGGCAAGGAACAGCTTATATGAAGATGTTTGGATTTCATCCTAACTTTAAAGGCGAGCCCTTGGAGTGTTCTAAGAGAGCGAATGACAAGATCACTGTGAGTGCTCTTAAGTGTGTAAAGAGGGGCTCCTGGAACACTACATGGCTGCCCTCGTATGTTGCCCGTTTCAGTCTTTTTTCTTTGCCTCTTATAAACAGGGCTTCGATGAATGTTAGTTCTTTTAGGTTTATTCCTTGAAGTAGGATTTCTGGGTGATCAAAAGTCTAAGGCTTTGGGTCTATCACAAGATTTTGGGGGGTTGCCTAGATAAGCCCTGTTAAGGTTCCCCACCCATCCTGACGTAGCTAACCCGAACCCCAAAATTGTGGCAGCTTCCCAGCGGTTTTTGAAATGCCTCTGATCATTGGCCAACAACTTTTCACGCTTAAGAAACGGAGAACACCATTGGCTCGAGTTCATCCGGAAGCGGGCAGAGGTGGAAGTTAGAACGTTTAGGCCTGTGGTTGCCATAGCGACAGGGAGGTTGACAGGCCAGATTCAGCCCTGGGGGACCCGACAAGGTAGGAAGATGTCCCTTTTGGGGGACGGATGCCAGGGTCGTGGGGAGGAGGACCCGGCGCACCGCAAGGGACGCCCACTGAGACCGCCGCCTACCCGGTGCGTGAGGAATTCCGCTGCCGAGCTAGGTGGTGCCCTGAGGGCCGGAAGAAGCCACTGTTGGAGGTTCCCCTCCCTGGAGGTGTGCCCTCAGAGTCCCCAGCTGAAAAGTGGTGATAATAACCGGGGCATCCCTTCCTCATAGAGCTCCGGTGAGGGGCGTGGGCATCTGACTCCCCTGCCTCAGCCCCGGCGAGTGGACAAACGTTTGGGGGCGTCTGGCAGCAGGTGGACCACAAAGAGCTAAATTCTAATCCCAGGTCCACTCCATCTCCTTCCCTGCTCGGGGCTTCGGTTTACCCATCTGTGAAACGAAAGGCTGTGATTGGAATCTAGAGGTCACTAGCCGGCAGCGGAAGTTTATTCCAGCTCTCCGACACACTTTCTCGGCTTCAGAAAAATATCAAATAGATTATTTACCCAAGATTGCTTTGAAAAATGTAAAATACTTCCAAGATGCACCATAGCATTGTAACTGAATCAATAAAAATCTCATACAGTCAAAACTACTCATGCAAGTCCCATAAAATTCCACATAAAGGTAACAGTATACATGAGGTAGTGTATATTGATATACTTGTACAGTAAAATACATGCATAAATATATGAAATATATGATAATACTATAAGATAAATAATAAGGGTTTTTTAAAACATAGAGATGGTAGAATGAAAACATGCCTACAGTTGTAGTTTTGTGAGTTAAATCTTTCTAGAATGTAGCTCCTAATGGAAAGAGTTGTATTTAATATTATGAGTACATCTATATACATTATGGATAAAATGTGTCTACTCCTAGTATTCATCCATTCATTCAGTCCACAGATGTTTATTGAGCAACTGCTATGTGCCAGGAAACAGATTGGGGATTCAGTGATGAACATCTTATTGATGAAGATCATAAAAAAATATTTTACATATTACATATAAAATATGATGTTGGGTAGTGAAAAGTGCTTTGAGAAAAATAAGACAGGGTCAGGGACTAGAGAGAGATAGGTGGTGCTTCCGAAGAGAGAGTGGTCAAGGAAGTCATCCCAAAGGCAATTTGAGGAGAGGCCCAGATGAATCTGGTGACAGGTCCAGAGGATGGTACCCAGTATAAGGGAGGAATCCCCATGTTACAAGGGTATTGCAGAAGCTGAAGAGGTCCCTTGTGGAGAAGAGGATTAGTCTTTAGGTTGTGGGTTATGACAGCTGCCTTCAAATACCTGAAGAATAGTCATATAGAACAGTGGCTTTCAAACTTTTTGACTGTGACCCATGGTAAGAAATGCATTTTATATTGTGATCCAGCACACATACACATGCACATAAAAGCTTCACAAAAGACTACAAGCTATGACCTGCATTTCAAAACTCACCAATGTGGAAGAGGAGTGAGACTTATTCTGAGCTGATTCACGCAGGAACTTTCTGGCAGTTAGAACTACCCAACAGTGAACTGCCTCAGGAATTTTCAAACTGAGTTCTGGGGACCCCCAGCATCCTGTGAAAATTCAAGACAGCCTAAATATTTGCATAGGACTCTATTTGCATAGTACATTGCATAGGATTCTATGCAATGTCCTAATTTTTAAAAAAACAACCATACATACTCAAGGATAGTAAATGTCAACATTTAGCATGTTAACATTTAGTGTGTGCTGCCTTAGAGGTTATTATAGTGGTTCAGAGCAAGCAGAAGTCAGACTTCCTGGGTTCAAAGCCTGATCCCACCTCTTACTTCTGGTGTGACCTTGAGTAAGTCACTTAACCCCTCCCTCTGAATTTCAGTTTTCTCATCTGTAAAATGGGGATAATACCTCACTGGATTATTGTAAGGGTTGCGTGAAGTATTCTATACAAGGCATTTAGGAGTGTAAGGGCTCAAGAAATGACAGCTATTATTTTAAGCTGTTAATACATTATCCCCGTGCACGTATTAAAATCTAATGTTAATAAAAGCCTACTGTAGGCTAGGCAGCATTAACTACTACTTGTGGATCATCGTATTTGATCCTCACAAGCAACTTGAGAGGAAGGTACTGTTACCAATCTCCCTTTATGGAAGAGGAAACGGATTTAAAAGGTCAAGTGACTCATCCAAATAAGAACTATTAAGTGGCAGAACCCAGGACTATTAACCTTGAAGAGAGGACTGGATACTCTTGATCACTGCACTGGCCCTCACCTGGGAACTGCTTAAACATATGCTGTTGATTAGGAAGTTAGCATATCTTCATTGCTCTTTCTTAGACTCCAGGCCCATGACATCCTGTCATGAACAGTTATACAAGCAAGTGCACCAGTGAGGCACATCTGCACAGTGCTCCATTCACACCTGGGCTGCACCTTCTCTCATCCTGGCTTCACAGGTATGCAGTAACAAGGCTGGAAAACATTATTAATAGTGTTGTCTTTGGGTGGTAGGAATATGGATTGGTTTTTTCAATCTTTTAAATTTATCTTTCCAAAAATTTGACAATATGTACATATAACCATTGTAATAGGAAGCTTAAACCTCTTCTAATTACTCATAATTCTAGCACACTAATGCATTTAAAAAATAACAGCTTTATTGCAGCTAGGGAAGTAGATGGTTATTACTAAGACAACAACACTGCACTGAGACGTGATAAGTGAATAGTGGCTGCTTTTATAGATCCTAAAAGACATTCTTATACTAGAGTAGTGATTGTGCTGTGATCAATATTGACTTGTTTCTGTTGTTTTTGATTTCTTAATTTCTTTGAGTGTGTTGCCAATAATTATATTAAATATTAAGTTTTTAGTATAGATTGTCCACCATAAATGATTGAGAATTGCTGCCGTGAGGGTGATAGAATAAAGTGAAGAGTAAATACTGAAGGAGCAAAGGATTGGTACAGCATAACATCATTTATTCAATCCTTCATTCCTTAGTATTTATAAATGATGTAAGTTCCTTAGGAAAAAAGGTGAGCAAAATAAAACTTGAGTCTGTTCATGAAAGATTAACTTCTATGAAAATTAAATCATGCTCCTGCTGTTAACAACTAAAAAAACAGAGAAATATAGGAATCATGGTTTTTAGACATTGAACAACAGGGAGCCCAGTACTGTAATCCCTGAGAGGAGAAAAACAAGGTGAGCCCCACAATTGCTCCAGCTTAGTGCTGGGGGCAGTTTCTAGGCCACAGTTCAGGGTGAGGGAAACCTCAGTTTCTGAGCTGGGGAGATAGAAATCAGAGTTCAGGGAGACCAAAGCAGCTGGAATTTACAGGGTAGAACACCATAAAGGACGGACCTGCACATAAAAAGTTCAGAAATAGGAAGAGAGTTCTCCTCAAGTCTTTGGCTGAGGAATGATGGGCACATGCATGAGAAGAAACTAAGACTGGGGAAAGAACCACCAGAAAGCGGTAGGCTGAACAATTTCTGGGCCTTATGCAGAATTGGGACTACTTCATGTTCCCATAAACCAGAATAGAGAGACACTGTACCAGATGAGGATTGATTGGGCAGAGTCTATAGAAATATCATGTCTTAGTAGTGGAGATAAATTATTCCTAGAATAAACGCTGCTCTGGATTCACTATAACAAAGCTTAAAAAGCTGGAAAGGAGCATATGTGTCTGTAAGTTACTGGAAATTGTGCCAGGAAAAAAAAATGCAACACTCTACAGAAATACTTCAAAATCCAGTACCCAACAGTGTAAAACTCACAATGTCCAGCGTCCAGTACAAAATTACTGGACATGAAAAATACAGGAAAATATGACATATATCCAAGAGAAAGAGCAGTCAATATTAGCAGTCCCAGAAATGACAGAGATCATAAAATTAGTAGAAAAGGGGCTTCCCTGGTGGCACAGTGGTTGAGAATCTGCCTGCCAATGCAGGGGACATGGGTTCGAGCCCTGGTCCGGGAAGATCCTACATGCCCTGGAGCAACTAAGCCCATGCACCACAACTACTGAGCCTGTGCTCTAGAGCCCTTGAGCCACCACTACTGAAGCCTGCACTCCTAGAACCCATGCTTTGTAACAAGAGAAGCCACCGCAATGAGAAGTCCACACACTGCAATGAAGAGTAGCCCCCGCTCACCGCAACTAGAGAAAGCCCGTGTGCAGCAACAAAGACCCAATGCAGCCAAAAATAAATAAATTAAATAAATAAAAATTTAAAAATTCGTAGAAAAAGACATTAAAGCAGGTATTATAAACATGCTCAAATATGTAAAGGAAAACATGAACATAATGAAGATAAAAATGGAAAATATTTTTTAAAAGGACCCAAATGTAACTTCTAGAGATGAGAAATGCAATATTTGAAATAAAAATATAATAGATGGGATTAACAGCAGATTAGAAACTACAGAAGATCTTTGAACTTAAAGGCAATATACACTGTCCAAATGAAAGTGCGGGGGAGGGGCAAGAACAGAATCTCAGTGATTGTGGGACAATATTAAGTAATCTATATACGTATACTTGTAGCTCCAGGAAAGAAGCCAGGGTGGGGAAAGGCTCAAAATTTTTTGAAAAAATAATGGCTGAATATTTTCCAAATTTGATGAAAACTATAAATCTGCAGATTCAGGAATTTCAATGAATCCAAAACAGTAAAAACATAAAGAAAATAATAAAATGATGCAAAGTCATCATCAAATTTCTGAATAAAAGTGATAAACAGAAAAACTTAAAAATAGTGGGTAAAAAAGATGTATTAGGACATAAGATAAGAATTACAGTGGATCACTTATCATAAACTATGCAAGTTAGGAGACAATGGAGTAATATATTTTAAAGTTGGGGGGAGGAGGGAAACTGTCAACACAGAATTCTATTACCAATAAAAATGACTGGGCTTCCCTGGTGGCGCAGTGGTTGAGAGTCCGCCTGCCGATGCAGGGGACGCGGGTTTGTGCCCCGGTCTGGGAGGATCCCACATGCTGTGGAGCGGCTGGGCCTGTGAGCCATGGCCGCTGGGCCTGCGCATCCGGAGCCTGTGCTCCGCAGCGGGAGAGGCCACGACAGTGAGAGGCCCGCATACCGCAAAAAAAAAAAATGACTAAGAAAAATGAAAGGAAAAAAGATTATTTTAGGCAAACAAAAACCTAGAGAATGCATTATCAGAAGACTTTCACTACAAGAAATGTTAAAATAGGTTCTGCAGACAGAAGGAATATGATACCAGACAGAAGCTTAGATAAACCCAAAGAATTAAAGAACACTGACAATGGTAAATATAAAATACATTTTTTCTTATTTTAATCTCCTTAAAAAATGATTGACTGTTTAAATGAAAAATAACACGAGGGACTTCCCTGGTGGCAGCCAATGCAGGGGACGTGAGTTCGATCCCTGGTCTGGGAAGATCCCACATGCTGCAGAGCAACTAAGCCCATGTGCCACAACTACTGAGACTGCACGCCACAACTATTGAGCCCACACACCACAACTACTGAAGCCCGTGCACTCTAGGGCCCACATGTTGCAACTACTGAGCCCGTGTGCTGCATTATTGAAGCCTGCATGCCTAGAGCCCGAGTTCTGCAACAAGAGAAGCCACCGCAATGAGAAGCCCGTGCACCACAACAAAGAGTAGTCCCCGTTCGCCGCAACTGGAGAAAGCCCGCGCATAGCAACAAAGACCCAATGCAGCCAAAAAATGAATAAAATTAAAACAAGTCTTAAAAAAAAATAACATGAGATTCATAATATATGTAGAACTAAAATGTATCTCAACAAAAGTATGGAATGTGGGAAATGGAAGTATACTATTGTAAAGTTCTTACGTTATATGTGAAGTGGTGTTTCTTTTTACTGTGATAAATTAAAGATGTAAACGCTAAACCTTAAAGCAACTGCTAAAAATAAAATAGGTATAGCTAATAAATCAGCAATGAAGGTAAAATTGAATCATAAGAAATACTCATTTAATCCAAAAGAATGAAGGAAAAAAGGAACAAAGATCAAATAGGAGAATGATAGATTTAAATCCAACCATATAAATTTTTACATTAAATGTAAAAGTTTTAAACACTCCAATTAAAAAGAGATAACCAGGGCTTCCCTGGTGGCTCAGTGGTGGAGAATCTGCCTGCTAATGCAGGGGACATGGGTTCGAGCCCTGGTCTGGGAGGATCCCACATGCTACGGAGCAACTAGGCCCATGAGCCACAACTACTGAGCCTGTGCATCTGGAGCCTGTGCTACGTAACAAGGGAGGCTGCAATAGTGAGAGGCCCACGCACCACGATGAAGAGTGGCCCCCACTTGCCACAACTAGAGAAAGCCCACTCACAGAAATGAAGACCCAACACAGCAAAAATAAATTAATTAATTAATAAACTCCTACCCCCAACATCTTCTTAAAAAAAAAAGAGATAACCAGAACAGATTTTAAAAAACCAAGACCCAACTCAACTATATGTTACCTTTAAGAAACCAACTTTAAATATAAAGACACGGATAGGTTAAAAGTAAAACGATGCAAAAAGATACAGTTTGCTAACAGTAGTCAAAAGAAAACTGGAGTGACTATATTAATATCAGAAAAAATAGACTTCAGAACAAGGAATATTACCAGGGATAAAGAGGGGCATTTCACAGTGATAAAGGGTTCAATTCACCAAGAAGAGGTAAAAATTATAAATGTGCATGCACCAAACAGTGCTTTAAAATACATGGAACAAAAACTGACAAAACTTAAAAAAGAAATAAACAAATTCACAATAATTTAGTGTGGGAGATTTCAACACTTCTCTCTCCATATTGAAAGAATGAATAAAGAGAAAATCAATAAGGATATAAAAGACTTGAACAACATTATCAACCAATTTGACCTAATTGACATTTATTTTTAAAAACCTCCATCCAATAACAACAGAAAAACTCAAAATCCCTCCAGCTACTTGGAAATTAAACAGCAGTCTTCCAAATAAACCATATGTCAAAAGATATTATATGAAAAATAGAAGCTAGTTTAGGAAGAAAACGAAGGCACATTTCAGCATACATGAGATGCTGTTAAAACAGGGATTAAAGGAAAATTCACAGTATTAAATGCTTATATTAAGAAAGAAGAAAGGTCTAAATTCCTAGATTTAAGCTTCCACCTTAAAAAGCTAGAAAAAGAAGAGCAAATGAAGCCTAAAGTAAATAGAAAGAAGGAAATAATAATGGTAATAGTAGACGTAAATGAAATAGAAAACAGAAATGGGAAAAAAATCAATGAAACCCCTTGCTGTTTTCTTTTGAAAAGATCCATAAACCTCTAGCCAGTCTTAACAAAAAGATATAAGATGCAAATTACCAATATCAGAAATGAAGGAGGGATATTACTACAGAACTTACAGACATAAAGGATAATAAGGGACTATTATGAACAACTTAATGCCCATAAATTACATGACAGAGATGAAATGGAAAATCTTCCTTGAAAGACACAAATTACCAAAGCTCACTCAAGAAGACATAGATAATCTGAAGACCTTATATCTAACAAGCAAATGGAGTTTGTCATTAAAAAACCTTCCCACTGGGCTTCCCTGGTGGCGCAGTGGTTGAGAGTACGCCTGCCGATTCAGGGGACACGGGCTCGTGCCCCTGTCCAGGAGGATCCCACATGCCGCGGAGCGGCTGGGCCCGTGGGCCATGGCCGCTGAGCCTGCGCGTCCGGAGCCTGTGCTCTGCAACAGGAGAGGCCACAACAGTGAGAGGCCCGCGGACCGCAAAAAAAATTAAAAAATAAATTAAAAAAGAAAGAAAAAAGAAAACCTACAATTAACATCGTCATACTTAATGTTGAAAATAATTGGAGAAATATACCACATTAATGGGTCATAACACTCGACAAAGTTAAGATATTAATTCTCTCTAAATTGTTTTATAGGTTCAGTGCAATCCCAATTCAAATCCAAAGAGGTTTTTTGGTAGAAATTGAGCTGCTAGTTGTATAAATTGCATGGTAATTTGAAAGAGCTTATAAGGGCCAGTACCAATGGTTCCCAGAGGGGAAGTGTGTTGGGGGTGGGGGGGGTGAAATGTGTGAAGGGCATCGACTGTATGGTGATGGATGGTAACTAGACCTGTGGTGGTGATCATTTTGTAGCGTACACAGGTGTCAAATTACAATTCTGTACTACTGAAACTTATATAATAATAACTTTAAAAAGAACTAGTATACTCAAAATAATTTTGAAAGTGAAGAACAAAGTTGCAACTACCTTGATTTCAAAACTTATAAAGCCAAGATAGTGCGCTGTTGGTATAAGGGTATACATATAGGTCAAAAGAACAGAATTCTTGGACTTTTGATGACTATGCCAAAATAATTCAATAGAGAAAAGGATATTCTTTTCAACAAATGGTGCTAGAACAATTGAATATTTAAATGCAATAAAACAAACCCGACCTATATCTCATGCCAAATATAAAATTTAATTCAGAATGAATCTTAGACCTAAGCATAATAGCTAAAAGCATAAAACTTATAGAAGAAAACATAGGAGAAAATATTTGTGACCTTGAGTTAGGCAAAGATTTCTTAGACAAGACAAAAAAGAATCACAAACCATAAAAAAAAATCGATAAATTCGACCTGATCAAGATGAAAACCTCTGCTTTTGAAAAGACACTGTTAAGAAAATGAAAAGGCAAGCCTCACACTGGGAGCAGATATTCCTAAAACACATATATGATAAAGGGCTTGTATCCAGAATATATTAAGAACTTCTATAACTCAATAGTGAGATAACCCAATTGTTTAAAAAATAGTCAAGATTTGAACAGACACTTCACCAAAGGAGGTAAACAAATGGCAAATAAGCACATGAAAATATACAAATTAAAATGACAATGAGATACCACTATACAATCACTGGAATGCCTAAAATTAGTAAGACTTACCAAATGTGTTGGTGAGAATGTATAGCAGCTGGAACAAATTATTGATACATGCTACCACATGGAAGAATCTCAAAAGCGTTGTGTTAAGTGAAAAAAAATAGACACAAAACAGTATATATACTGTATGATTACACATATATAACATTCTAGAAAAGGCAACTATTGTGACAGAAAGAAAAGCAGTGGTTTCCAGATGCCAGGGTTAGGAGGGTATCGACTGCAAAGAGACATAGGGAGCTTTGGGGAGGCGGAGGATGGATATATTTATATCTTAATTGTTGTGGTATTTTACACAATTGTAAACACTTGCCAAAACTTAAAAATGTACACTTTGAACCGATGAATTATATTGTATGTAAATTATCTCAGTAGAAATAAATTTATAAAATTCAAGCCTACAGGAGCTCTGTAAGCAACATCAACAGAGACCACTTACAGAGTTCCTACTACAAGCAGTGCAATGTATTTGGGATTTGGGGTCGTGGAACTTGGTAAATCTCAGCCTCTACCCACAAGATTTCTCAGTTTATCCTGCAGATACAACAGAACCCAATCAACATACTTACCATTGTGAAGTGATCCCTACAAATGCTGTATTTTGCTGTTTCAGGTGATTAGAAGAACACGCAGTCAAGTTTTTCATCAAACACGTGGAATATATCACAGAACTTTGCTAAGATGGACAACTCCATGCAAAAAGACCAACACTCTGGCAAAAAATATTCCAGAAAGACTGACAAAGTACAGAAAGGTCTAGTGAATTTTATAACAGAGGTCTTTGGGGACGAGAGCTCCTGACATATGTTCATTTTAGTACATAAGAGCAAATTTTAGGGGGATATAGTAAATCCTGGGTTATACCCACAAGGCCACTCTTAAGTATATCAAATAGATTGCTTTGGTCATTCTCCCACTGCCTCTAGGGTGATGATTGGGAAGAAACTATGAGAAGAAAGGATGGTGGTGGCGGGGAGAAGGAGGAAGAGATCTTACTTTATTTCCTAAAACTTAACCCAAGCCCCCATTCTGCCAGGTTGTTGGAAAGTTAAACTCCAGCCATTACTGGCACAAATGCTATTCCTCCTTATTTCAAGTTTTGGACCTTTCTTAGTAGAAAAAGGTGATGTGATGATGGGAGTCTGGGTGAGGGAGGGGAGAGGTACTCAGATCATGGGTCATCCATCCAGACAGGTGAAAGCTCCACTGTCTCAGCCCATGTATTCCTTTGGTTTTGTTAGTATGCACTAATCCGGGACTACCTCTGGGCTTGGGCAATCATTGCTGAGGCTGGAAACTTCGTTCCAAGATCCTCACTCACTCCACTGCTTTTTCTTTTAGGGGTATTACCACCGCCCTGGTGGGCCTCTAGAGTCCCTGCTCTCAGACCCACAGCTGGACCTCTCTTTCTTCCTCCCACCTTTTGATTTAGTGCTCTCTCTTTTTCTTTAATACTTTTAAATTGAAGCTTAATATATATTCAGAAAACAAATCATAATTGTACAGCTTAATGAATATTCACAAAGAAACCACCACCTATGGAATCACTTCTCAGACCCCGCGGTAAACACCAGCATCCCAGAAGCCCTTGTCTTGTCCCTTCCTGGGCATTATCCCCCTTCTCTGCAAATGTAAACACTATGGCTATCCTGACTTCTAATATCATTAATTACTTTAGTCTGTTTTGAACTTTATATAAATTGGAATCATACAATATGAACTCTTTTCTCTCAGGCTTATTTCATGTTTGAGAGATTTAACTTCATGTTTCATGTATCAGTGATTAGTTCATTTTCATTGCCGTAAAATGGCATAGCATTCTTTGTTCTAATGTACCACAATTAGTTTATCCATTATACTATTGCAGGACATCTGGATTGTTTCCTGTCTTGAGGCACTATGACTAAAAGCTTTTATGACTATTCTTGTTCATGTCTTTTGGGACATGTATGTATACATTCCTTGGGTCTATACCTAGGAGAATTGCTGGGTCATAGAGTGTGTTTATGATCAGCTCAGTTGATACCACTAGTTCTCCAAAGTGAGCGTGCCAATTTTACTTCCTTACAAGCAATGTATGATCATTCCAGTTGCTCTACATCCTCACCAACACTTTTAGCTCATCAGGGTTTTAATTTGCATTGTCCTTTGATCAGAAAGATTGAGCACTTTTTCATGTGTTGCCTGACTTTTAGGATATTCTCTTTGGAGAAGTGACTGTTCCCGTTTTTTACCCATTTTTTCTATTGGGTTTTTCTTTTCTTAGGAGTTCTTGAAAACATTCTAGAAATGTATCCGTTCATTGGCTATAGGTAAAGTAAATATCTTCCCTCCATCTGTGACTTTCCTTTACATTCTCTTAATGGTGTGCTAATGAAGAGAAGCTCTTGATTTTACTATAGGCCATTTCATCAATATTTTCCCTTATAGTTAGTGTATAATGTCTGTCCTATTTAAGAAATCTTTGCCTATCCCAAAATAATTTCTTCTAATAACTGTATTATTTTACCTTTCACGTCTAGACCTACGATTCACTTGGAATTGTTTGTGTGTATGGTATGAAGACGTCCAAATCTATTGTTTTCAGTATGTATATCCAATTGCCCAGCACCATTTATTGAAAGAGCGTTCTTTTTCTGCTACTCCGCAGTGCTATCATTGTTGTAAATCATGTCTATGTATATGCAGGTCTGCTTCCGGATTCTTTATGCTGTTCAAATACCACCTTTAATTACTGTAACTCTATAACAAGTTTTTTTCTTATCTAGTATAAGTCCTTCAGCTATTTACTATGTTTATCTTGGCTACCCTTGGCCACACTGAATTTCCATATAAATTTTAGAATCATCACATTAATGTCCTAAAAACATCTTTACTGTCATTTTGATTTAGATTGCATTGATTCTAGACATCAAGTTGGGGATAATTTACATCTTTACAATATTGAGTTCTCCAATCCATGTGTATCCTTTCTTTTATTTTCTTAAATTTTTCTCAATAATGTTTTATAGTTTTCTATGTAGAGGCCTTGCATATCTTCTATATATCTATTCTAGGCATTTGATTTTTATGCTGTTGTAAATGGTACTATTTTTATTTCATTTTCTAATTGTTTGCTGCTGGCATAGAAATAAAATTAATTGATTTTTGTATATTGACATTGCTAAATTCAGTTATTACCTCTAATAGGTTATCTATAGATTCTTTTGAAATTTCTCCATATACAGTCTTGTCTATGAATAATGACAGCTTTATTTCCTTCCTTTCTGATCTATGCATTTTTATTTATTTTTCTTGGCCTTTGTACAGGTTAGAGTTCTTCAGTACAATGTTGAACAGAAGTATGAAAGCAGTCAACCTGGTTTTGTTCTCTATCTCAAGAGAAAGCTTTCAGTATCATGTTTGGTGTAGGCTTTTGTCATAGATACCTTTTATCAGATTAAGGAAATTTGCTTCTATTTCTAGTTGGCTAGGGTTTTCTTTTAATCATAAAAGAACACTGAATTTTACAAAGTGCTTTCTCCATCTACTAAACAGACACTTTACCAAAAAAAAAAAAAAAAGATAAACAGGTAGCAAATAGCATATGAAGAGATGCTCAACATCATTAGTCACTAGAGATATGCAAATTAAAGTCACAATGAGATACCACTACACATCTAATGGGATGGCTGGAATTAAAAAGACTGCCCATGGGACTTCCCTGGTGGCGCAGTGGTTAAGAATCCGCCTGCCAATGCAGGGAACACGGGTTCGAGCCCTGGTCCGGGAAGATCCCACATGCCGTGGAGCAACTAAGCCCGTGCGCCACAACTACTGAGCCTGTGCTCTAGAGTCCGTGAGCCACAACTATTGAGCCTATGAGCCACTACTACTGAAGCCCGTGCACCGAGAGCCCGTGCTCCGCAAAAAGAGAAGCCACTGCAATGAGAAGCCCGCGCGCTGCCACGAAGAGTAGCCCCTGCTCGCCGCAACTAGAGAAAGCCCACGTGCAGCAACAAAGACCCAACACGGCCAAAAATAAATAAATTATTTTTTTAAAAAAAGACTGCCCATTGTTGTTGAGGATGGGAAGTAACAGTAAGTCTCACACACTAATAGTGGAGATACACAAAGATACCACAACTTTGGAGAAGGGTTTGGAAGTTTCTCAAAAAAGTGAAAGTATGATCCAGCCATTCCTCTCCTAGGTATCTACCCAAGAGAAATGAAAACTTATGTCCATTTTAAGACTTGGGATTGAATGTTGTTAATAGCTTTACTTGTAATACTTCCAATCTAGAAACAATTCAAATTTTCATCAACAATGAATAAAAAATTGTCACATTTCTATACAATGGAATGCCACTCAGCAATAAAAAACAATGAAGTATTGATACTTGAACAACATGGATGAATTTCAAAATAACTGTGCTCAGTGAAAGAAACCAGACAAAAAAGAGTACATATTGTATGATTCCATTCTGCCTCTATTGACATGACCATATAGTTTTTCTTTTTTAGTTTGTCAATATGGTGAATTACATTGATTGTCAAATGTTAACCTATCTTTGGATCACCGGGATAAACCTCATTTCATCATGATGTGTTATCTTTTTTATATATTGTTGAGTTTAATTTGCTAACATTTTTATAAGAATTTCTGCACGTATATTTATGAGGGTTAATGATCTATAGTGATTCCCTCTCACCTTCTGTTATGACTCTGTCTGGCTTTGGTAACACGGTAGTAACTGGCCTCATAGAATGATTTGGGAAATGTCTTTTTCTCTTCAGTTTTCTAGGATAGATTGTATAGAATTGATAGGTGGAGTGTTCTATAAATGTCAGTCAGGTCAAGTTAGGTAAATAGTATTGTTCAAGTCGTGTATGTCTATTGATCTTCTATCTACTTGCTTAAATTATTGAGGGAGAGATTTTGAAATCTCTGACAATTTTTGTGGAATCTTCTATTTCTTCGTGCAGTTCTATCAGTTTTTATTACCTGTATTTTGAATTTCTTGTTATTGAGTATATCAGTGCTTAGAACTGTTATATTCTCTTGAGGAATTGGCCGCTTTATCATTATGAAATTACCTTCTTTATTGCAGTCCCATCTGTTCTTTGTTTACATTTTCTGGATTCTTTTGTATTGAATATTTTTTTGTTTCTATTTTGTCTACTTTGTTGGCGTTTTAGGAACAGCTCTTTGCAGTGTTTTCTTCGTGGTTGCTTTAGAGCAAGGGTTGACAAACTTTGGCCCTTGGGCCTAATCTGACCTGTTGCCTGTTTCTATAAATAAAATTTTATTGGAACATAGTTACCTCTATTTGTTTATGTGTTGTCTGTTGCTCCTTCACTCCATAATGGCAGAGCTGAATGGTTGCAACAGAGACAATATAGCCTGCAAAACCTTAAATATTTACTATCTGGCCCTTTACAGAGCAAGTTTGCTGATCTGTACTACAGAGTTTATAATATACATCTTTAATTTTATCACATTCTACCATCAAGTGATATTATTATACTTCACATATAGTAGAAGAACCTTACAACTGTATATTTTTATTTTTTCTTTCCTTGACTTTGCACTGTTGCTGTCAAACATCTTACTTCTACATACGTTATAAATGCCACAAGAGAGTTATTATTTTTGCTTTAAATAGTCAATTATTTAAAAAATGATTTAAATTTTATGTTTATATCTAAATGCATCAATTTATACTCAGGGTTCTATGTTTTACATTTACCTACATATTTACTAGTTCCAGAGCTCTTCATTCCTTTAGGTAGATCCAGATTTCCAACCGGTATCATTTTTCTCTTGCCTGAAGGACTCCCTCCATTTCTTGTAGTTCCAGGTTACTGGTGATTAATTCTTTTAGTTTTCGTATATCTTCAAAAGTCTTTATCTTGCTTTCATCTTTGAGAGATATTTTTACAGGGTACAGGATTCTAGGCCGATAGTTTTTCCCTTCTGGTACCTTAACAGACGTTGTTTCTGATGGTCATCTGCTGTTATATTTGTTGCTTTGTGTGTAATGTGTCTTTTTTTCTCTGCCTGATTTTATGACTTCCTATCACTTTAAAAAGGCAATTTGATGGGGACTTCCCTGGCGGTCCAGTGGTTAGGACTCTGTGCTTCCACTGCAGGGGGCACGGGTTCGATCTCTGGTCAGGGAACTGGGATCCCCACATGCTACAGTGGTGAGGCCAAAAGCTTTAAAAAAATAAATTAAAAGTAAAAAAACAAAAAGCAATTTGATTATTATGTGCCTTGGTGGAGTTAAATTCCTGTTTCATGTGCTTGAGTTTCACTGCCTTTCTTTGATGTGCAGGTTTATGTTTTTTTAAATCAAATCTGGAAAATTCCAGCCACTTTTTTCTTGAAAGATTTTTTTCTATTTCCTCTCTCCCACCTCTCTTCTTTGGAACGTATATTAGGTTCCTTGAAGTTTTCACAAAGCTCACTGATACTCTGTATTTTTTAGTCCTTTTTCGCTCTGTGTTTTGAATGGTTTGTATTTCAATGTCTTCAAGTTCACTAGTCTTTTTTCTGCAGTGTCTAGTGTATTTTTAATCTCAGACTTTTTAGTTTTCATCTGTAGAAGTTTGATTTGGATCTTCTTTATATCTTCCATGCACCTACTTAATAAGTTCAATCTTTTTTCCAGCTTCTTGAACATATCAAATGCAATTATTATTGTAATGTAATGTTCTTGTATTCTATCATCTATATCATTTCTGAGTTGGATTTGATCGATTGTTTATTTTCTCCTCATTGTGAATTGTATTTTTTCCCTTCTTTGTATGCCCATTAATTTTTTATCGAATGCCAGTTATTTTTACCTGTTGGGTGCTGTATATTTTAGTAGTCCTATGAATTCTTGTGCTTTGTTCTGGGATGCAGTTAAGTTACTTGGGAAGTTTGATCTTTTCAAGTCTTGCTTTTAAGCTTTGTTAGCTGGAACCAGAGAAGCATTTAGCCTGGGGGTAATTTTACCCTATTTCTGAGGCAAAACCCTTCTGCATATTCTCCTTGTGTCCCATGAATTATGAGGTTTTCCACTCTGACTTGTGGGAACAGGAGCTATTCCTGTTCCCAGTGTTCAGGTATTGTTTACCCTAACTTTTTCAGGTGAATCTTTCCCCAGCCTTGGGGAGTTTTCTCACATGCCTGGGCTGATTGATACTCAGGAAACTACTTGAGGGGAACCTAGTGCACGTCTCCGGAACTCTTTCTCTGTACAGCTCTCTTTGCTCTGGTTCTCTGCACCATTCACTGGAAGGAATGTAAAAGGGGGAGTTTGTATATCATTTATACATCACAACCCAGACATATAAAGTTTTAACTTGATTTTCTATAAATGATCCTTCTGCTTTTTCACCCCAAGTCTGCTCAGAAACCTAAACTTACACTTGTGTTGCACTGTGTCCTGAAGAATGAGAGCGAGCCCCACTCTGCTCTGGGATTTCCTGACCTCTCTGTATCTTTACGGTGCTTCGCTGATCTGTGATTCTGGGCTGAGGATGAGTGAGGACTCTTGCTCTGTCCCGCTGCCTGGCTCTCTTCCAAGGCTGCTCCAAATGGTTTTGTGTCCCCTTCCTCCTTGGCAAGAACGCCTTTCCTGTCGGATCCTTCCTCTTCCCTTGATAATATGCTTCAGCTGTGTGACCAAGTCTCACTAGTTTAAGAGCTGGAGGTGCTTGGGAAGGTGGGGTGGATGGCGGGGCGGGAACCAATAAATTACCAAGAGGGTCTTTAAAAAAAAACAACCCAGTTTCATGTTTATCTCTTGTCAAAAGGCAAGTTTCTCTTTTTATTCCATTTAAAATAAAATGTTAACAGCTCTCTGTTTTGTGCATTCCTCAGTTCTGTGTTTTGTACTATTTTTTATTCTATTTTTGTTGTTTAGGTTTTACTGCTGCGTATCCAACACAATCCTCCATTCCTTTTAAATATCAGCCTTCCAGAATTCCAGAATCAGAAAAAAAAGGATTTAATAGTCAAGCCAAGAGGTTTTACCATAAAAAGGTAATGGCGCGCCTCTCGGCGTTTTCGTTAAAATCAAATGTAGTAGTTGTTTGTATCAGTTTAGCCTGTGGTATGTTTTGTGGCGAAAAGTAACACATTAAATGAGTTTTTAAAACCGTGGGGGGAAAAAAAAGGTAATGGCGTTGTCTTAGAAATGCTTTACTTTTAGTCTGGATTTTAGCCTCAGGGGACAGGCACGCGAGTCTGGCTGGTGCGTCTCTCTCTGTGACCAGTAGAGGGCAGTGTCATCCAAGGAGCTGCAGCACCCTCTCCAGCTGTGCGCTCTGACTGGGCTGTAGGAATGAGCTGGAAAGATATTAAATCCAGTGGAAAACATGTCTGGACTTACGGGGCCACACTGAAACCAAACATTTTTTCACAAGAAATGTATTTTAAAAATTACTATAAAAATCAAAAATGCAAAAATCCCAGACGTATGAAGTAAAAGATAAAAATTCTTTCCTCCCCCCTACCCCCAGCCTCACTCAAAACATGACAGGAAGAACAAGACTTTCTTCAAATAACATAAAAGGAAAAATAAACGAGTCTAATAAACGTAAAATTACCTTTGTGATGACACCCCCCCTCTTTTTTAAGCTTCCTTTGACAATGTGTTAGAACTGTTCCTGCATTTCCCCCTTCCTTACCCTCTTCCCCAAATATCTGTGTCTCTTTTTCTCTTTGATCTGGAACGTTCTGCTTGGGTCCTGGTGGGTCCTCACCTAACTTCTGTAATTTCACCGGCTGAAAGCCCAGGTCTGATGTTCTCCCCTCTCACCAGCAGGGGACGGAAGCAACTCGCAGACGCAAGAGTCTTTTAACATCTTCATTCCTTTATTCGTTTAACTAGGACCTTTAGAATAACATTCTTTTGGAGGAGTCATCATGTCAGTTACCTTTTGCTGCATTCTAAAAATGTTTTTCATCCTACCCCCTCGCCAAGATGGCGAGAGGGGATGGGGAGATCTGGGTCCTGAACCCAGGTGAGTCCTCGGCAAGCCCCTGTGCCCCTTGGCCTGTTTCTTCCTTTGTAAACAAGAGCGCTGAGCTAGAGAATGTTTAAGTTCCCTCCACTTCTGATATTTTAGGATTCCGAGAAAGCAAATAGTAAAGAATATAGTGTGTGTGTACACACACACATATATTTTTAACTACTTGCATGTTTTCTCCAACGGTGATAAATAAGCTATCCGCTCAGGTGTTTCCTCTCTATGTTTTAACTGTCCATCTGTCTCTCTGTCTCTTTTTTGTCTGGTTTTTCCATTTGTCATTTTACCGACAGTATACTGTCCATCTCTCAGATATCTGCAGCCAACCTCCAATAAAAATAATGACAGCCACCATTTACCAATCCCTACTATGCGTGAAACCAGTTTTAGACCATATTTCTAATCCTCTGAACAATGCTAAGAGGAAGGGTTTATACCTTAATTTAACAGAAGAGGAAACCCGGGCTTAGGGAAGTTAAATGACTGACCCACCCGAGGTCTCACAATGCAGGGTTTGACACATAAGAGGCCCCACATGAATATCTGCTGAATCAACGTTGAAAGAATTAGACCTCAAACCCAGGCCCAGCTCACTCCTAAGCCTCATGCTCTGTCCACACATGGCACCACACCTCCCTCTGTGGCCCGCAAAGCCATCAAGTCCATCTATGAAAGTCAGCGCGTGCGTTTCTGAAAATGCCTCCACCAAACAGACCAAACTCAAGATAGGGGAAGATGTCGTGTGTGTAGACCCCATTCTACATGATCATGTTCTGAAGACTCAAATCCAGAAACTGAATGGTCTGGCTTTTAAAGTTTGCATTTTAAACGACTATTACTTTTCAGAAATTTTTCTGCTGAAGGAACCAAGGTGGCAGCCAGCCAAAGCTATAGGCAGCATCCGATATAGAGAGAAATAGCTCAGAAATTTGATTAGTACTTTTCAAACGTGGTTGCGTTGGTTTGACGATGTGAAAACGTTCATTTAAGCATTTGAAAGCATTTTGTAAATAAGTATGGAATTTTTTAGAAAGGGCATGGGATCCATAAACCCTGGCCCCTGGGTTATTATTTTTGCTTTAAATAGTCAATTATTTAAAAAATGATTTAAATTTTATGTTTATATCTAAATGCATCAATTTAGATGCATTTTTAGATATAAAATGTTATGTTTATATCTAAATGCATCAATTTATACTCAGGGTTCTACATTTTACATTTACCTACATATTTACTAGTTCCAGAGCTCTTCATTCCTTTATGTAGAGCCAGATTTCCAACCGGTATCATTTTTCTCTTGCCTGAAGGACTCCCTCCATTTCTTCTTCTGCTCTGTTACTAGCTGACCGGGTTTAGACTAATCACTTGACTTTTCTGGGCTTCAGTTTCCTCATCTGAAATGTACAATTTGGATTATTATACTTTTTTAGGTTCTTCAAGCTATAAAAACAGGAAGAAAATGTCTTATTGCCTGCTCATTATTCTCATTCTTCCTGAGAGAAATGGGCATTGAGAAGTTAAGAATTCTGTTTAACATCACCCAATAATTTAGTGAGGCAATACAAATTAAAAGCAGATTTTAAAACTCTGGTGTCTCACCACCCTTCTTATGACATTAATCGTACACACCCTGTGCCTCATCTCATGACTTGGTTGTGTCCTCACATTCGTTCTGTGACCCATCTAGCACACCTTTAACACAGAGAATCAGTGCCCTCTGAAATGTGCACTTACCTTATCAGCCTGACTTCGGAGAGAAACTTCAGGGCCTCGTTGCCCGGCTCCCATTCCCCATGAGAATCTGACTGCTGCGTACGAGGAAACCTTCACTGGGCTCGGTGCCCGGGCTGCAATTTTGGCTGCTAGAAATGAAGTCTGCTTCCCTGAACACGTTACAGTTATGTACAGATGTGCTGCTGACACTGGGTGCATGAAGAGACATGCCTAATCTGGAACAGAGCATAGCCCAGCCACCCGAGGGACAGTTTCCTCCCCCACCTCCCGATTCTGTCCCCATGCCACCCTGGATTGTGGTCACTATTTCCCAAGCTGTGTAACACTAAGGACACTCCCTTAAAGTCTTTGCATCTCTGTTTCCTCATCTTAAAAATAAGGATGTTATAATAGGTAGGCCCTTGCCAGGGATGACTATTCCATGATCCTAAACCTGATTAATCCCTTCCAGGCACACATGAAGGGATACTGGTAGGATACAGACACCCTTTCCTCTAGATGCACAATTTTAAAATACATGTTAATTTCAGACATAGCCTGACAGCAAATCCACCCTCCCCAGCGGTAAGCAGGACAGTGTTTAATTTGTGGTGAAATTGTACAAAGTTAATACGGTTCACTTATTGCCTTGATAAGGCACCAGACCAGGGATATTTTTAAATGAATTTTTTAACGTCAGAGCTTTTTCAGTGAAAGGAAGTTCAGTCTGCAGAGACCGCCATCTTCAGGGGGATAATTTCCCCGCATGTGCACTCAGCTGCGTGTTTGAACCACAGTGGGGTCTGCCCGACCTTCCTGCTCTAGAAGCCTGACCACTTCCATATCAGTCACCAGCACCCCTTCCTCAGGGGTCTGCAGGACACGCTGGTGGAAATCGCAAACACTTGGCTGGCACAGACAGTGTGCCAGGCTCCCCTTGAAGATGTTGCCTTTATGAACTCATTTAATCCCCATAATCGATGACCCTGGGAGCTAAGTCCCGTTATCCCCACTTTTCAGATAATGACTCTGGGACACAAAGAAAGTTGAGTAAGTGGCACAGCCAGGGTCAGGCAGAGTGAGGACGACCCTCGCAGCAGCTCCAGGCTCCCACACTGTTTCCTCGCGTCTCCCGGGTGGAAGCCAGCACACCTTCCCCTGAATGCCCGAGCACCTTCTACTTGGCAGGGTGGTAATGGGCATGCGCATCTTGTCTCCACCCAGCCGGAACTCCTCGGGCAGCAGTCATTGTCCTTTCCAGACGCCCAAAGCCCCTCAAAAGTGGGTCGAATGAATGATCCCAACTCAAGTCTACGAGCCACGGGAACTTGTCCCACCCATCTTGCGTTGCTTTGCTGCGTCTCCTCCATCCCATTCCTAGAACATCTAAGCTGCCAACCGCCTGTATCCTGGTGCCCCAGCCCGGGCCCTGGCCCACAGCAGACTTCAGTGTGTGCTTGTTGAATTGAGTCTTGGCGCACATTCCACTCAGGGGATTTCAAAGGGCTGCTAATGAGCTGACACCAGAGTTAACAAAGAGGAGGGGTCGGCAAAAGAGCACCGCGGGTGCTCAGAGACGCTACTGACGTAAACTGATGCTTTGAAAATGCAGGTTTGGCTTCTCTTGTCTGACTGTGTTTCCAACCCAGCCAGGCCAGCGATGGGCAAAGACCTGGTCCCCATTTTCATCTGCCCAGGTGGCCAGTGTTCCTGGGCTTCCCCCACACCTGCTCTTCACCTGGGCCACTAAGAAGCAATCTCCTCAAGAGAACTCATCCCACTTTTCCTGGTTGCTCCCTGAGGGCGCCCAGGGATCTTTCATTTCTGAGATCCCCATTGTGAACAAAAAAGTGTCATTTTCTTGCTTGCAGTACGCTCCCTGCCTCTCCCTTCTCCTCTGCTGTCAGAGGCCTGGAAACTTTGATGCCAGGCATTAGTGTATGGAGTTGGGGCGGGGAGAGGGGAGAAAGCAGAAAGGAGGAAGGGCGTCTTACAAGGGGCACTTCTCAGGGTTGTAGACAGTTTGAACCAGAAGGGCTTCAGTGACTCCGAAATCCCTGGGCTCGGCAGAGGGGCCCCATCTGTGACAGCATCCCATGCTGAGGCCCGTCGGTGGAGCGGGTAAAGGGGACTTGCTGCTCGAAGCCACTGCCGATCGGGCCCCCTTTCCCTGAGTTCCTCATGGAGGCCCGGAGTGGGGTTGAAAACTACAGATCTCCACACCCGCACTTGCCTCTTTGCAGGTTCACAGATGAGAGGGCTGAGGCCCAGTGAGGAGACGTGCCCTGGGGGCAGACACTGGCCCATGCTATCACCACTTTGGCCACATCAGCCTGAGAAAAGGGTGGATGGATGCATTGTCCCGAGACCCTAAGACCAGAAGTATTTGTAAAAGGAAAATTTTCCCGTAGGAACCCCAAATTCCTGGGCACTTGTGCCAGTGAGTTAACCACAGGACAGGGCTCTGTTTCCACCTCAGGCGTGTCTTCCTCCTGTAATATACCGCTAGCCCTTCCACAGACTCTTAGTTTTCATTCATCTCGTGCACTCCTGAGAACCCCAGCTGGCCACCCCCATAAGAGACCAAAGCAGAGCGGAACATCCCTGAAGAGTCAAAAGGCAGCTCTAGTGTTGTGGACTTTGGCCAATGATCCAGCAGAGACCGCATTTTCCAACCTGGAAATGGGCTGACAAACCTGAAAGTCTTAATTGGACAGAATCTATGAAATCGGGACTAGAAAATCCAGGCTGTGTGCAGATGTGACCAGGTCCAGGTTGTGGACACTAGGCCCTGCCATACCCTAAGGAGCTGTCTGGGGTGAGGGGGTAAATGCCCTGCTCCCTCTCTTCCCCTCCTCCTCATGACCTCTCTAAACCTATCCCAAGGTCAAGTGAATGTCAATCTGTGTCCCGCCCTTGGCATGTGCTGCCCATTTGGGACTTTAATCCTTCAAAAGAGCTCTCAAAGTGCATTTCCACCAAATGTTGCCCAGCAACATCAATCATCTCTTGCTCCATCCCACTCTGAGGGCCTTTAACCGCCGAGGGAAGGTCCTGGCTCCCTTGAGGCTGTTGTGGCAACCTGAGGACTGGTAATGATGAGGCCGGTGGGACGTGCATTGACTCATTCAGTTCTCACGTGCACAGGGGACAACGGGTGTAGCCCTGGCCCAGAGCTCCCCGTGGAACACACAACAGGCAGTCAGCAGAGCTCAAATGAATAGTTCTCTTCCCTTCTCCCTCCCCACACCCATTTTATTTGGTTGGTTTATTTGGTTTTTGCCTTCTGGGGTGGTCTCGGCCAAGAAGCCGAGGGCTGGCTGAGTTCACACCAGTTTCGACTTGGATTCTTGCTCTCTGGGAGATGCTGAGAGGCCAGAACTCATCAACCTCATGTAACATTAGTCACATGAGCTGTTATCTCAGAGGCCAAAGGCTGGACTTTTATTGCCCTCCCAGGGAGCCATCCACCACCTCTAGCTTTTGCAGGAGAAAGCTTGAACCCCCTACAGCTGGACCTTTCCCTCCAGGCAGCTTTGAAACTTACTTGGTGTGGAGTGCAGGTGGTGGTGTGCTGGTAAACCAGCTCTCTCCTCCACAAGGAAAGCTCTGATTTAGAGCATTGGCCAATCACTGTGGTGTAAATACCGCCCCCCAACCTGGTCAATTTCAAGCTACCACGAGCAACATTTCTGAAAATATTTAACAGTCGCCCTCTTGAGCCACCACTGGCAAGCCCCAGCATCCTGCTGCCTGGAGGACCCTTCTTGGATATTCATTAAGAGCAAATAGGCAGCATGCTCTCCCTCCAGGCTAAGAGGTGACAGTTCTCTTCCTACTTGTCCTGGACTCAAACCAGTTTGCAATGTGGCAGAATTAAAATGTGATTAAGGTCCAGTAGGGTTGCCAGATTTAGCAGATAAAAATACAGGATGCTTAATTTAGAATTTCAGATAAATAACAAACTACTTTAGTATAAGTATATCCCAAATATTGATTGGGACCTACTTATACTAAAATAGCTTTTTGTTGTTTATCTGAAATTCACATTTAACTGGGCAGGGTGGGATGGAGCAGGCTTGTGTTTTATCTGGCAACCCTAGATCCTCAGACACATATAGGTGCCCAGAAAATTCTTGTGGGCTGATGCTGGTTTTGGGAGTGTGGCAGCAGACTGGGGGCTGGAGATGTCCAAGACTGTTTATTCTTTCAACCTAGAAGCGTCGCAGTTACACTTCCTGCTTCAGCTTTCCCTCGCTGTAGGGACTCTGGAAGCTAAAACGTGCCTGAAGTCATTTAGTGCAACATCTTCGATTTACACATGAGGAAACTGAGGTCTAGAGAGGTGACTAGATCAAGGTTACTTAGCTAGTAGCAGCACTGACGCTAGAATCCTAATTCAAAACTCAGCGGGATTGTTTTTCCTTTTATCCTGCACATTTTATCCTGCACTCGTCTGAGAGTTAGTTTGTCTTAGTGGTCAAGAGTCGACTGTCCTCACACTGCTTGGGTTCAAATTCTGGCTCTGTTACTTGCTGCGTGACCTTGGTCCTTATCCTTTTGGGCCCTGTCTTCTCATCTTTAAAATGAGGATTAAATGAGCTAGTGTGTATAAAGTACTCAGAACAGTGCCCGGCATGCAGTGACCATCAATAAACACATGCCATGGGCTTCCCTGGCGGCGCAGTGGTTAAGAATCCGCCTGCCAATGCAGGGGACACGGGTTCGAGCCCTGGTCCGGGAAGATCCCACATGCCGTGGAGCAACTAAACCTGTGTGCAACAACTACTGAGCCTGCGCTCTAGAGTCCGCGAGCTACAGCTACTGAGCCCACGTGCCACAACTACTGAAGCCCGCGTGCCTAGAGCCCGGGCTCCGCAACAAGAGAAGCCACCGCAATCAGAAGCCCGTGCACCGCAACGAAGAGTAGCCCCTCCTTGCCACAGCTAGCGAAAGCCCGCGTGCAGCAATGAAGACCCAACGCAGCCAAAGATAAATAAATAAAATAAATAAATTTAAAAAACAAACAAACAAAAAAAAACATATGCCATTCCTGCAAACAGCCCCCGAGAAAAACCTCTTTCTGTTCCTTCCTGTAGCACCTCAAATTGCACCCACATGCCAGGGCTCTTCTGGTCGGGCTGCATCTCCTGCATCTCCTGCCTCACTCTCCTGGTAGTCAGCTCCCCCTCTGTCCACCAGGGACCATAATCACCTACAAGGCAGGAAACAGCTCCCCTGCCTCCACCTGCAAGGCTCAAAGGCTCACTGCATTTAAAATTTAGCACAGAAGAACCTGCTAATAGCCCTTATATTAAACCATAATCACACACTGATTGGGCCACACTGGAGCGTCCTTGAAGGCCCTGGTGGTGCCTTGAGCTCTCTCTCTGCTCTGAGGAAGGTAGTAGGGATGGTGGGGACAGGAGGAGCCTGGGTGGCAGGTCTTGGAGGTAGCAAGCTCTGGAGTCAGGCTGCCTGGGTTTAAATCTGTGCTTCACCATTTACTAGCTGCGGCCCCAACGTCTCCGGGCTTCGCTTTCCTTAAAATGGACCTGCTAATAGCCCCACTGCAAAAGGCTTGTGTACACCATCATGTAGCGCTGAATTCAGGTGCTGCCACTGACAGCAGTGGGACCTTGGGCAAGTTCATCTCTGCGTGCCTCAGTGTCTCCATCTATAAAATGGGGGCGTCCCTTTCTCACCGGGGGATTAAATGAGACAACCTTTGAAAAGCTCTTGGCACCAAGGAGGCACCCGGTAAACTCTCGAGACGGTGGGGCATCCTTATCATTTCATGTCACTTGCCTGGCCAACTTTTGTCAACATTTACTTCCCCCTGGTAACGAGCATGGGAAATGAGACCCAAGCCCCATTAACTGTGACGGCAGAAATGAGCTTAGAAATCAAGCTTTTGTTTGTTCCTCTCTAACGTACCCGCATCACTTAGGACTTGAGCCCCATGAACCCGCCTCTTTTTGTCTGAGAGTTAGAAATGGTCTTGTTTGGGATGAAGGTTGTTTTTGTTTCATTTTGCTTTATAAACAGAAACACTCCCTGGTTTCTCTTCTGAAAGGCTGGGGAGGAAGCTGAGTCAGGTGGGGTGTGGTGAACATGAAATCGGTCACCCTTCCCTCGCCGTGGGTTTGGTGAACCCAGTCAACACACACTGACACACACACTGACACACACACTGCACACACACACTGCACAGCCGCTGCCACACTCAGGATTGCATTTTCTGCTCGTATCTCTAATGGCACAAAGAAACAACAGCATTCTCCTGGAATGCAGTACAGCACCGTGGAAAGAGCAAGGGCCCTGGGGTGGGGGTGGGGCGGTCCCAGACCCGGGGTGGAATTCCAGCCCCAGCGCTTGCTAACTGAGATGGTGACTGGGCAGGTCAGGAATTGGTGGAGCCCGGCTGTCATCCACGAGGTGGCATCCCTGCCTGTCCCAGAGGGTTACAGTAAGGCTTAGTGTTAATGGATGTAAAACTTGCAGAAAAGCACCATGGAATTGAAAGTATCCCAATGACACTACGTTCTCTTCCCTTTCAGGATGATATCCCAGGTCCTGGGTTCTACAACGTCATTCACCAGTCGCCTGTGTTTGACAGTGTGTCGTTGTCTAAGAAAGGGACGTGTACTTTTCCCTCTATGGTGAGAACCCCTTCTCTGAACATTAACTGCTCGGTACTTTCCTTCATTCATTGCATAATCATACATTGGACAACTGGTCCCTTCTCTCCAAAGGCCCGTGGTTCTAATTAGGAGAGTAACTGCCTCCTCAAATTTCCTGCAGGTAAACTGGAGCCTATGTCTTTAAGGAATTTTTTCCCCCACTGCTAGCGTTGCCAGAGTGGGAAGAGAAGCTAGAAGAATATTCAGAACCTGATCATCCAAAACCAATTTTGTCAGTGTGGAATGGACTTACAGATGTTTTCTTGAGATTTTTAGGCAGACCAGGAAAAAAGTTATTATTATACATCTTGCCCTAATAGGACTTTTTACACTGCTTAATCTAATTGGGTTATTCGAGTTACTGAGAAATCTGATGGGACCAAAAAGAAAACAGGCAGCAGGCAGGTAATTTAATGATATTCCTCTCCTCCCCATTTCTCTCCTTTGTAAGATGTGGGTCTTTATTTCTCTCCTTTGTAAGATGTGGGTCTTTATCTTTGTGGAAGGCTACAACCGTCAAGTAGCTAAATGAAGTTCCAATGTCTCTGACCAGACCTGGGCAAGGATAGTCTTTATTTGAACACCTATCAGTTGCCAAGAAAAATAGATATAACAAGGAGAAAGGGTCAAAGTAGGGTAAGACTAGCTGAGGGAGGAAATTGAAAAAGAAAGCAAACCCAAACTCCAGCATTAACAAAACACATATGCCGTCTGTCCCTTTAAAACTTATAATAATCTCTTGCAAAAATGTATTACGATACCTGACACTGGAATTGATTTTTTTTTTAAAAAAACCACACACAAAGAGACCATTTAAGACACACTGAATGCAGCCACTTATTGGAATTCAAGCTTGGCAGGGTTGAATACTCAAGGAGAAAACCGACTTTGGAGTTAACTCCTTATTAACAAAGACGTTGAGGCTGCACATGCCCCCAGTGAGTTCACAGAATAGCCACGCCTCTACTTCTCCTTCTGTCCCAAGCCCCGTGAGTAAAGAGACTCCAAAGTGATCTGCAAAAGAAGTTCCATCTCCCAATGGCCTGACACAGGAGACAGGACTTAAGACCCAATCTTGACTCAGCTGTGGGTTCTCGATGTGACCTCAAGCACGTCACCCTCTGTGTCCCAGTTGCCTCATCGAGTGGAGACTCCCTGGAGGCGATGGGCAAATTGACGTTGCAATGAGTAAAATAGACTTTGAAATTGCAGAGCATTATAAACATGTTGAATGTTATGATTGTCACCACCTGAGTCACAAACAAGACTTCCTGCAGCACCTAGGTTTTCTCTCTGAGACGTTGCCAAATAATGGCACTGCCCATTCCTGCCTGGTGCCAGAGAAGGCACTGAATCAGAGCACACTATCAATTCCCTGCTAGGCTTTACATGTAGTAACTTTCCAAATGACGTGGCTGGGCCACCTGGAGAAGGGGTCCAAGGGAAGCTCTGTGTATGACAGGATCCTGTGTAAGACAGGATCTAATCAGGTCTTTAAAAAATTCAGACCAAACCCAAAAGAAGGCAGAAGGTGAGTTGTTCAGGCTTCCTCTCCCCGCTGTGATGGATATGGGGGTTTCTATTTCTGTTTGTAAACACATAAGTTCCTATATCCTTGGGAAGGGACCTTAAGCGGTTGGTGGAAGTCTGTCAGGAAATCCCCACATCTCGCCTCTGTTCCTTCCCAAATTGGACGAGAATTTCATTCCTCCGCCCCTTCTTTTGCTGCCTTTCACATTCAGTGCCTCTTGTTTCCGGATCCCAATTCCCTGAGGGAATCAAAAGTAGTCCCCGTCAGAGAAAGGTCTGCCTTACTGGAGCCAGTATGGCCAGCAGGAGCGTGTCTCTCTGGGTGAGGCTGACCAAAAGACTCTGTGGGTCAACACGCTTTAAAAACTTCCTGATGACTATTGGAGCAACAGCGCCCAGCCTTTTGAGAGGACCTGTCATCCGCCTAAATTCAAATCATCTGAAGAGCTTCACGACGGTATTCCAAAGCTTTGCTCCAGAATTATTCACGGGACGGACTAGGAAGTTAAATGGGGCAGGTGGGAGGAGGTGTCCATGGCCTTTCCGTATTTGTGCGGTGGCAGCAGCGGCTCTGGAAGAGCTGGACAGAGGTTCATAAATGCCAGCATGTGGCCAAATTGGAGACCGGAGGCCTGGCAATGAAAAGAAAGCCAAGGGGCGGGGAGGGTTGTTGAGTGACTGTCAACTTCAACTAGACTCAGGCTAATTCTACCGCAATGCTTTATGAAACTTTGCCTCGAATAGGAATTTTTTAGTACAGTTTTTCCCAAAGGGTATGTTAGTAGGTATCTTAAGCCAAAAGATTCTATGATGGAGGAAGGTTGGGGAAGGCTGTTTAAACAAAGCTAGACATGGGACTTCCCTGGTGGTCCAGTGGGTAAGACTCCACACTCCCAATGCAGCGGGCCTGGGTTCAATCCCTGGTCCAGGAACTGGATCCCACATGCATGCCGCAACTAAGGAGTCCACGTGCTGCAACTAAGAGCTTGCACACTGCAACTAAACATGCCACAACAAAGATCCTGCATGCTGCAACTAAGTCCCAGTGCAACTAAAATAAATAAATAAATAAATATTAAAAGAAAAAAAACCCCAAAGCTAGAGAGGTTTCTTTATTGCAGACCTTCCCAGAGCATTTACTACACCAACGTGTGTTATGAATCTTCAAAATGGGAACATGGTGTGAAACTTCTCAAATTTATTTGACCCTGGAACTCTCTCCCTGCTGCCGTTACCACCAACACAACCTTATCTCACAGACCTGGAAGGCCGAGGAACACACTTTGGGAACTAGCGCTTTAGAAGAACACCCTCTGCCCACTCTGTTGGGTGACTCAGGATAGACACGCTACAAATGGCAGCACCAAGGAAGGTCTGACCTTGCCACCCTTCTTCTGTGGAAGTTAGAAGGAAAGAGCAGAGGTGTGTCTGCCCCGTCGGGCACAGCAGATTTCGGGTAGTGATTCTTCCAGAGCTAAAACCTCCCACAGGCATTTATCAGCTGTTCATCTTGTAGCTGCAAACGCATTGCTGTGACTCCTCTCGGCTCATTCTTCTTCAGAATGGATATCTGATCCATATCCTCTCATGGAGGCGAGAATGTTGGTTCCAACACTTCGCTAGCTGAGGAAGTTCAGGGTCCTCATCTGTAAAGTAGGGATATTCATAATATCCTCGAGCCAGGGTTGTCATGAGGATCCAATGCAACACCCCTGCAAAGTACTGGGTTAACTATTGCCCCAAATGCAAAGGTAAGGTGAGTTCAAGGCTGGGGTGACCTTACTTCTGGGAACATCAATGAATCCTTACAGTTAGGAGGAGGTGGAGCTGGGACTCGAACCCAGGTTAGACTCAGGACAGCTAAGACTCTGGAAAGAACACTCCTGCTTCTGGTGGCACATCCACCCACATTACTGGGTCTATGAACCAGATGGTGAGAACCATTGCCGCCACGTACAGAGTGAAGTCAGGCGAGGGGCTGATGCCTTCCCACACCTCCCCCACTTTCTGTGCTTGTTTATTGACCCCTGTCAAGTGGAGGAAACCCAGGGCAATGTTCTCAAGCTTTTACCCATAAAATAATGAAATTTTTTTGTTGTTGTCTTATCAGACTTCAATACTTGCCATACTATCCCAGGGTAAGGTGATGTTATCGCCGAGTTTTTATGGCTTTTGTCCCTGTTCATTTGGCAAACATTGATTCTGTTTGTTTTTTTTTTTAAGTGAAAATAGTTTATCATGGCTTCCTGGAAGAAGTAGGATTGGTTTCTGTTGAGACAGCAAAAATATCGTAGAGTTTTATGAAATCAGTGATTAGGTGGTGGATAGGAGGTGTGGGTGGGAGGCAAGCCCTATGGAGCCTTGTACCTTTAAGATGTTAGAAGCAAACTTGTTATTTAGGAAATTTGGATTATTTAAACTTAGAAACAAAAAGTGAGGGTTTTACTCAAAGGAAAACCAAGGTTGGAAGAAGCAAGTGTAAAGCGTCCCATCATATAAGTCACCCACCAGCTGATGGGACAAGTATAAGTGTCCTGAAATGAGATTGGGTGGAAATGCTTTTATGGAAGAATTATCTTTGCCAAGTCCCAAACATAAGATGAATAATTAGAGTTAGTTTACAGAAGTTAACACAGGTCTGAACTTGCATTTTCCAAGAGCAAATTCTCAAAGCCCAAGGTCATTTTATCACTGTTACCTGCCAGGGTTTCACCTTTTATAAAATGTGTTTAGACCTGGTGCTGGGCACCATCTTTTTGACATCGGCCCTTCGGAGCCATAAGATACGTGATGATGTGGATTCCCTTGACTTTCTCCTCACAGTGTGCCCGACTGGACACCATCGTCTCTAAATACCCTGCAGCTAACGCGTACACTATACCATCACGTTTTGTTTCGAAGAAAGACTTCAGTAATTCCTGTTCCAGCATGTTCCAGTTGCCAAGCTTCGTGAAAGTTCTCAAATTTGAAACTCCCGCACCAAACCATTACAATGTAAGAACACTGCCTGTGCTTCTTAAATATATATTGAATTAATGGTTTGCTAAAATAAAAGAAAGGAAGGGGGGAGCTTTGGGGAATAGCATTTACTGCAATTGGTAAGCCAGCTAGCAGTTGCTGACTACCCAATGGCTACATGAGGCTGGGCAAAACTCTCATAGGGAATTTGCAGAACCCAGAGAAAAATGTGGGCAACACAGAAGTCAGTATAGAGCAGTGGGAAGACCACTGCCCTGGAAAATACTTACTGCAATTACTCTTATCACATAAGTTTTATGGGACGGTTTTCTCATCTGTAGCGATGATTATATTACGTACCACTTTATCTGCAGACACTATTATATTCTTTTTTTTTTTTTTTTTTTTTTTTTTTTTTTGCGGTACACGGGCCTCTCACTGTTGTGGCCTCTCCCGTTGTGGAGCAACAGGCTCCGGACGCGCAGGCTCAGCGGCCATGGCTCACGGGCCCAGCCGCTCCGCGGCATGTGGGATCTTCCCGGACCGGGGCACGAACCTGTGTCCCCTGCATCGGCAGGCGGACTCTCAACCACTGCGTCACCAGGGAAGCCCTGACACTATTTTATTCTTACAGGGAAAATAAACTTCTATCTTCCCATATCAGAAAATTGGGTTTTTTTAACAGCAGTGGTTCACCATTTCCCATCACTGTGTAGTCACTGAGGCAGAATGGTGTGGTTAACAGGTAAGAGACAGACTCAGGTTCAAATCTCGACTCTGCCATTTTCTAACTGTGTACGGCTTTGGGCAAGTCTCTTAACCTTTCAGGACTCAGTTTATTGATCTGTAAAGTGGGGTTATATGTCTACTCCATGGTGTTAATGTAAACATTAAATGAGATAGTCTAGGCTGAGTGCTTACCTTGCACAATATCTGGTGCACGAGGACTCTACAATACATGAAAACTGGTAGAACTGTCTTTAGGGAAGCCCCATTACCTCTTGAGTTTCAATTGTAAAAGGGAATTAATTATACTTGCCCTACAGGGTTATTATAAGAAGCATATGAGACTACAAATATGAAAGCACTCTGAAATACCTAAGACATGAATTGTACATAAGGTAGTAATATTATTACACTATATTTAAGAATATTTTGGTCTTAGAATACTTCATTTTAAATTTCCTTTTTCTTTTATAATATTTATAAATAATATTGATTTTTCTGACTACAAAGATCCTGCCTACCTTCTATGATGAATCCAATCAATTATAACATGTTCAAAGCAATACAAGTGCCTGCTAGGCCAGCATGGTCCAAAAGGAATATCAGTATAACAGGAGCCACATACATCATTTAAGTTTTCCTAGCAGCTACATTTAAAAGTAAAAAGAAACAGATGAAATTAATTTTAATTATAGATTCTATTTAACCCAACATATTCAAGATATGGCAATATCTAATCAATATAAAAATTATTAATTAGATGTTTTACATTCTTTCCCTCGTACTAAGTCCTTAAAATTCAGTGTATATTTTATACTTGCAGCACATCTGAATGTGGACCAGCCATGTTTGCAGAGCTCAATAGCTTCATGTGGCCAATGGCTACTGTTTGGGGTAGTATAGCTCTAGATACTCTTCTCTTAGGGTAATCAGAGCCTGAAAATAAGAATGATGATGATATGATGAAGCACTTTTCACGGTCTATGTGCTGTTCTAAGAGTTGTGTATTCACTTATTTCATACTCACAAGAACCCAGGAAGTTGATTCTCTTATTCTCAATTTACAGAAGAGGAAGCTGAGGCTCAGAGAGGGGAAGGGACTTGCCCAAAGTTACCCAGCTTGAAGGGACTGTTCCCACATCGGTGAGCACGGGCGGGTGCCGAGGTATAAAGCTGGGGAGTGATCAGAGTCCCCATGTTCCAGCCCTGCTGGGCTTCCCTTCATAAATCCTGTGGCTGCTGTGTGCCAGACCAGTGATACAGCTTAGATTGCAGTGGGGAACTCAAGATGAGAACTAGGAGACAGACAAACAAAATAATTACTGTGTGGCCAGCTCTGAGGGAGACAAACAGTTGGAGCCTGAGAAAGAGAATATGTGTGGGGTGTGGAGGTTGGCAATACCATGTACTTTAGACTGGGTGGTCAGAGAAGGTCCTGAGACTGAGACTCAAGGATTGAGGGAAGAGCCAGAGTTGGGGGAACAGCATGTGCAAAAGTCCTGGGATGGGGAAGAGCACGTGCAAAGGTCCTGGGACAGCAAACACCTTAGCCCATGGGGAACTGTAAGAAGGTAGCTAGAGGGAGTTCCCTGGTGGTCCAGTGGTTAGGACTCGGCGCTTTCACTGCCATGGGCCCCTGTTCAGTCCCTTGTCAGGGAACTAAGATCTTGTAAGACATGTGACGCAGCCAAAAATAAACCAAAGTATCTAAAGTAGAATGAACTAGGGGGTCTTGGGGGAGAGGGAACGAGGAGAGGCCAGACAGATAGGCAGGGACCAGTTCATGCAAGGCCCTAAAGACCCCAGGAGGGAGTTCGAATTTTGTTCTCTGTGTGCTGGGAAGCCCTCCTTGAGGAGTATAGGAGGTGTGGAGTGATGTCTTCTGATGTACCTTTTAAAAAAGATCCCTCCAGTTGCTGTGTGGAGAATGGACTGCAGTGTGGGTTAAGGGTGGATTTTGAAAAAACAGTTAGGAAGCTGCCATGATAACAAAAGAGCGGTGGTGTTAGTGCTTCATGCCTTCACCTCCCCAGCCCACTGCTCCTTCACCCTGGCTTCCTATCTCCGAGGCCCAGCTCAGGTCCTGGCATGCAGTAATCATGCAATAAATGTTTATGACTCCAAAGGAATAACTTCCTTTGTTAATCAAGAAATGACCATTCCCCACATCAGGACTCTGCCACCAGATCAATTTTAGTTTGCACGTTTTTTGTTCATTATTGTTTTAATGTGGCTCTGAAAAATAATACATGCTCATCATAAAATGTCTTCGAACATCACAGAAACCCATGAGCCAGAAAGTGGAAGTCCCTCATCATTCTGCTCTGCAAACAAACATCAAAAACCGGGGGCAGGGCTTCCCTGGTGGCGCAGTGGTTGAGAGTCCGCCTGCCAACGCAGGAGACACGGGTTCGTGCCCCGGTCCGGGAAGATCCCACGTGCCGCGGAGCGGCTGGGCCCGTGAGCCATGGCTGCTGAGCCTGCGCGTCCGGAGCCTGTTGCTCCGCAACGGGAGAGGCCACAACAGTGAGAGGCCCGTGTACCACAAAAAAAATCAAAAAAAGAAAACGGGGGCAATATTGTTCATATTCTCTTCCTCCCGTGGTCCTTCCCTTGGTTTTGGGATTATGCTGTCCACAGTATGCGTGCGTTTTCTACTTAATTATATCTGGGATTTGTTTTTTTCCCATGGCAATACAATGAATCTGCTTCATTCTTTTTTAACCTGCCAGTGGAGCTGACTCTTCCTAGTCTAATGGTGAAATCTTCCAGTAACACACACACTCAGTGTATACAAAAATGCCCCCTTTTTCTGTTGCTTTTCTGTCTGGGCGAGGAATAAAGCTGAAGTAGTGTTTTGTCTACAGGACGCTTTTTTCAGACCTGGAGAACAATGGTTGAGTCAACCGGCGAGGAGCAGAAATGCGGTAATCCTGTTAGCCACACTGTGCTTTGAGGCTGTCAAGACCTCTCTACCTTTGCTTACTGCGATCCCCCACTTCTCTGCTGGAAGCCTTTCCCTTGGTACCTGTTATTACTTCCTCTCTGGCGTCCTGGCTCTTCTCCCCGTGTCCAGTAATTAGCCTGGTCCACCTGATCTTTTTGTCTGCCCTCTCTGCAGGCAGTCTGGCCGTCAGGACCCTGGGAAAAGCGAAATTCCTCTGCCTTTGTCAACACAAAATCAAAATGCCATCTGCATTTCTCGAGAAACATTTTTTTTGACAAAGGAGTAGCACAGAAAATCAAGCCATCCTGGCCTCAGCAAACAGTTTCACTCATTCAGTAAATATTCCAGCCATTGCAGGCACAATTTTTATTGCATCTTTTATCTAATGAATACAGGAGACTGACTGCAAATTAGCCTTTAAAATATTTATGATTCATCATAAGAATGATCTCAGGGTTCTTTTTTTTTTTTTTTTTCCAAAATTATTTTTAGCGTTCTGAGCTCACTGGACACTCTCTAATGTATATTGCCTGGGTCAACCAAAATTCTAAATTTCCGGTCAGCCCAGAAAAGTCAAGACAGTGCTTACAAATCTGATCATAATCTTAAGTTACACAATTTCTTTGTATGTCCTAAATCCCACACGTATTGAAGGATTATTTGAGCAGTGAGGGATCAGGGTGGGGATATGTAGGACTAAGTGTTCTGAAAAGAATGAAAATCATAGAAAACATGATGAAAATAACTTGCCTGTGTAATGTTACACACTTTTTAGAAAACCAGATGATTTGTGTTGACTGGCTGTCCCCTACCCCCAACCCAACAGCGCTCTGCCTCAAGTCGAGCAGGGATTATCTGATCCATTTTACAGATGAGAAAACTCAAATTCAGAGAAATTAATCCGTTTGAGCAGGATACCCTGCCCTGTGTGCAGGGAGCGAGCCCGGAAGCCAGGGCCGCTGGCTGGTTCAGGCCACCGTCCTCTGTGTTGTGTTGGGTCCCCAGACACTGGCTAACGATGACAAGCTCTTCCCCCAGTCCAGCTGCGGTGAAGGGGAAGGCACAGCCAGTGTGACGTTTTCCACTCACGTGCGCTCATTTTCTGAAGACAGGTTTAAATTTGTTTGTTTTTTTTAACCCCAAAGTGCCCCTCGTCCAGACACAACAACAAGGACAAAGAAAGGCAAGACACTGAGCACACCGTGCTTATTTTCTCCCCCAGGCCTCTGTCTCTTGCTGCAAACAGACAAACAACGTTTGTGCCCGAGCCGGGTTCATGTCCAAAACCCAGAGAGGACTTTTCACTATTACTAAAACAGGACCTGCCCCAGGTAAGCAGCTGCGTCGCACTGGCCTTGACCTAAGGCTCCCTGTACCAGATCTGATCAGCAGGGCACCCATTCCTTCACAGGGAGTCTCTTTGGAAGGAGTTAGGCATTGGGGGAAGAGGGGATGCAGGCAGGTATTGTACAAAGAGGAGAAGACTGGCTCCCCATTCAGGGGAGGAACGGCGGCTCTGGAAATGGACCCCGGGGCGGCCTATCACGTTGGCCTGCCTTCCAGACCCAGAGCACCTGCTTTGGGCAGCCAGCTGGGGAGGGGCTTCTCATGCCAGAAGTGTGCCCATGCGCATACCCCAGGTGCCCTCCCAGGCGCTGGGGGGAGGCGGGGCACACAATACATTCTGATCCTTGGACACTCGGCTGCAATATTCCTTTCCTCCCATGTCTACAAAGCGGCTTCATCATCTATCATCAAATGATGGGAAATAGCTCTCTTCACAGAGCGCCTACTCAGTGCTAAGTTTTTCCACGCGGTCCTCACACATCTGTCCTCATAGGGCCACACTCTTAGTCCTGTGTTTCAGGTGAGGAAATGGAGGTCCAGAGAGTTGAAGCAACTTGCTCAGCATCACACAGCTAATAAATGGCAGGCCTAAGCCCAGAGGTGTCTGACTGAGGAATCTCTTAACCCCGTCATCCCAATGTGACTTCTGAAGCCTCCAGGATTCAGGAACACACAAGGGCTCACCTGCAGATGTTTTCCCTGCCGGGCTGGGGAAAGGCATTGCACCTGTTCTGTGCCCTCAGACCTCCTCCCCACCCCAGCCTTAGTGAAAATTTTCCAGAGGGGTCTGATGACATAGCAGTCCATACTCCAGGACCACTGGTTAGACTAGACCTTCCCAAACAGGTCCAGAAGACCCCCGAGGGAGCTCTGGTCCCCAGAGCCCAGAGGAGGAGCAGGGAGGGTTTACCTCTGCAATCATGCTTCTCGGATGGGGGTGTGGGCAAAATCACAGTGCATGTCAGATTTCAGCAAATCCAGATTAAAGTTGAGATCAGTCTGAGGCTGAATAACAAAACCAGCCCTAATTAGGAGGCTAAGCCCGACTAAAGCTCCCTGCCTTGCATCACCACAGGCAAAACCCCACCTTGTTTGTTTATACAGGAGAATAAAGCCAGCATCCCTGGGGTTTGGCCAGAGGTTCCACCAGAGAGCCCCTGGGAAGTGGGCAGCTCCTCCCTCTGGGAGGGTCCCGAGGGGCCCCTTGTAACACAGCAGGAAGGGGAGAGGTGGGCACCAGCATCTTTTAAGCTCCTACTGTGTGCCAGGAACTTCCAAAACCCCATGGAGGGTTGCCTGGCACGTATGTGCTCCGAGAGTGTGGGTTATTATTAATATTATTATATCCCCACTTTACAAGCAAAAATGATATATAGAAAACAGGTGACTAGTCCAGGGTCCCACTGCTGGATTTGAATCCAGCTCGATGCCAGGACTCTCGCCACATCCCCCAAATTTGCCAGGGGCCACAGCCTGGGGAATCTGCTTCTCTGAGAGAAACAATCTGCTTTGACCTCTCAGAAAAACGCTGTGGTTTCTGCTTCTCCCCCTTGTGGGAAGAAACCAGATGTGGAGCCATGATTGGCATCCCTGCTGGGTTCCGCCCACTCAGAGTGCCCAGGCTCAGAGGCTGAGGGCCGGGTCTGGTCTGCCTTCAGTTCTGAGCAAAATGCTCACCTTTACACGTTGGCTGGCTGGATTTTCTAAAGTCTGGCTACATCAAACACAAGGCCAAGCACTTCCCCAACATCCTCCTCTCTATTTCTCCTTAAAAACAAAAAAGTTATTAGATCATGGGGAAACAACTATGGTAAAGTGTCACTTGAAAAACGTGGGTGACACGATCAAATCCATGCTGTGGGCCCAGCACCATGAGACAGTGTTCAGTGCACGATGGAAAGACTGGGGGTAAATACAACAGAGAGTCCAATCCTGGTTTATTCTGGGCCGTGAGAGCATGAATGCCTTTCCCCCTTGCTTCTGCTTTTTAACATTTTATAATCAAGCGTTGCTTTAAACTATTTTTTTTGGTAGGGGGAATAAAAATAAAAAATAAATATATGTATATGTAAAAAACCCAGAAAGATAATTTGAGAGATAGATACCAGTATTATAAATGCTGCTAACTGGACATTTGTTTTTTTTTTTTTTAACTTAAGCATATATTGGGACCATCTTTTCATGTTATTAAAAATCCTCCTAGAACATCTTTTGTTAATGGATGCATAGTATTCCATTACCTGGTGGTACCATCAGTTAAGGAACAAATGCCCTCTTGCTGGCATTTAGGTTGTTTTAAATGGATCACTCATATAAATAGAGTGGGAGCAAACATCCTTATAGCTCACAACTTGTGTACAATCAAGATTATGTCCTTACATAAATGGCCTAATGTGAAATTGCTAAGTCGAAAGGTATGTAAAATATTTAAGGTTTTTGATATTTGTGACCAAATTGCCCTTCAGCACAGAGATAATTTATCCTCCCGCTTCTATGAGAAATATGCTTTCCCTCACCTTTGCCATCAATGAGTATTACCATTTCAATAAAATCTTGCTAATATGTCCCATATTGTTGTTTTCAGTGCTTTTGCAATGAAAAAGTCGATTTTATTTTTTTAAAAATTAACTTTACAGTGGTTAGAAAATTTGAAATATTTTTCCCACCCACAATGCCACCATTAATATAGTTTTTCCCACTTTTCTGGGATCCCACCTATTTTTACTCACATGTATCCATTTGCACGCTGATGTCATAGTATATACAGTATAGACTGTTAGGCTTTATTTTACTTTTCTCGCTCACCTTTATTTTTGAGAACATTGCCATAGGCTTCATGGCCTTTGCATTTACCCCCCTCAGGGCTGATATTCCACCAGATTAGGCTGTTTTCCCATAACTGTGCCCTTGTACTTGGACCTTTGGGCTATTCATCGTTTCTCACACTGTAGCTACTGCTGTTGTGTACATCTTTAGGCTTAGAGCTTTTCCATTATGTTGAATAATTTCCTTAACTTCCAAGTAATAGGAAGCCAGGGTCAAAGTGTGCAGCATCTTGAAGGCCTTTGCCTAGTACTGCCGCTTTGCACCCCAAAATGCCTGCCCCCATTTACAGGGTTACTTGCTCTTTAGCGTGAGACTGCTCCCTCTTTACCCCAGCTCAGATCATTCTCTTCTTCCTTAAAGCTTTGTGCACAGCCAAATTACTTATATTCTGACAGTTTCTTGAGACAAGGCATGGTGGGGAAGCATGGACCTTGGAGAAAGGTGGGTCTGGGTCCACATAGTATGTACTCAATAAATATTTGTTGATTACATAATAGTTACTGAGCAGCTACCATGTGCCAGGAACCTAAAATGTTCTTCTTCTACCATAGCCTCCCAGTTGTTGGAAGAATTATTATCCTTAGTTTATGGAGGAGGAAGCTGGGCTTAGGCCCTGGTTAGATGAATGTCCTTTGGCAAATTACTGAATATCTCTTAGTCTATTTCCTCATGTTTGGAATGGAGGTGCTAATACCCACCTTGCAGGGCTGCCGTGAGGATTAAATGAGCCACATATGTGATGCACGGACACATGTTCTCTAAATGGTGAGCGTTATTTTCAGTTATTCCAGGCCCCTTCTACTTGACCATCCTGGAGTGATACTGCCTTATAGTCATTAAATGTATTCTTACTGCTTTTTATTTTTTTGAGAGGAGTTCTTTATTCTGTTTTAAAATTTCTTTCTGCTCAGGGCATTATAATGTCAACGAATCCCTTGTGAAGCAGTCGCCGAAGATATTAATGTCTTGTTTTAAATCAAAAACTGGCCGTGGATTAAAACTGACGTCGACAGGCCCAGGACCCGGTTATTACAACCCAGGAGGTCACACCGAAGTTCAAAAAAAGACTCTTATCCCGTGAGTCCTGATCATCCTGATCTTTCTTCTGAAAGGTATTCTGGGGAAGGACCAGAACCTGGGGAGAAAAAGAAGGGGTGTCACAGCTTGGCAGACACAGGCCGAGTTGCTCTCCTGGGGCCGTTGCTGACACATAGCAGGTGCTCAAGAAATACTTGTTGAATACGTAGTATTTACTGAGTAACTATTGTATGCCAGGAACTTAACATCTTCTTCAATGATCATAACAACTCTATTGTAGGAATGATTATTCTTACTTCATAGAGGAGGAAGCCAGGCCTCAGCGAGGCTGAAAGACTTGCGTAAGTCCACACAGCTAACTTGAGATGCACCTGGGACTCAGGCTCAGGACTGTTTGGACCTTCCAACATTTCCCATGATGCTGTGCTCTCCCGGTGCTGATATTATTCTATCTTTATAATACAAAATCTCCACTGGGGTGGCAGGATATACGAAAGTGGTGAAACTGTCATAGCTTTGTACTGACAGGTTAACAGCCTAGACTTTGGAGTTGGTCAGACCTGCTAGATTTGAACGTCAGCTCTGCTATATTCATGCTGTGTGACCGTCAGCACTGTGCTAACCCCTCTGAGCCTGCATGCCCTCGATTGTAAAGTGGGGATAATTTATCTGAAAGTTGCTTTCTGATTTAAAAAATATATTTGATATAGTAGGTACAAATAGTGAGTCAATAACACAAATTTTAAAAGACAGGGATTTGTGTTACTGTTTTTAATCTCCTGTACATTTGATGTTACTTTCACCTCAGAGGCTCAAAAATTCACGGGGCTTAATATTCCTCAAATGGGTCTAGAACTTCTAGAGCTAAGTGCCATTAAGGTCAGCCGTCCTGTCACTCTCAACAGGATTGGCTGTTGTGAGGGCTGACCAGCAGGGCTGGGACCAAGGGTATAGCCACCTGGGAGCCTCCAGAGAGGTCACCTGGGAGCCTCCAGAGAGCTCAGGCAGCTGGCTGGGCGCAGAGCCACAGGGGGTCAGGAGGCTGGGTGGCCCGGGGAGGCTGGCAAACTGGGTCTACTCGGACCATGAGCCCAGGGCAAGGGGTCAGGGGTAAGGGAGAGGAGCAAGACATGAGCCTGCCGAGTCCAACCCAGGACCTGGGGAAGGGACTCAGACCGCAGATGGAGTCCACCAGCTGAGTCCCTTCTGCCCTTCGGATCTGGGGTTCTGCAGGCTGACCTTTCATAGGCTGCAGGACTCGGGACCGGGGCGGAAAAGTCTCCAGGAACAGGCTCTCTCCAAACGTCAGGGACTTCCTGCCTCTGGGTTGGCTTGGGCACCACTACACACAGCCTTTCCCTATGCTGTCCCCAAATGGAGTGGGAGAGAGGATGGGCTTTGGGGTTAGCAGACCTGACTGAGAATCACAGCTCTGTCTCTAGCAGAGACTTCTCCTCCCTGAGACTCCATGTTTCCATGTATTAAGTGGAGATAAGAACCTTATCTCATGGGGGTTCTGTGAGGATTAGATGAGAAAGTGCTTGAAAATAGCTCTCACTCTTCTTATTACAGCAGCTATTATTCTATATCCTAGAGAGGATATGTGACGATAGAGGATGCAGCTGTTTTGCGTCATGGAGGCTCAAGCCCCCACCCTGACTCTGGAAGCTTCTTCAGGGAAACGATGAGAGGAGGGTGAGGGGCACTCGGTGTTTAACCGCCTTCCCCAGAGCGGTGTCATTTGGCCTGCGTCCGAGTTTGGACGAGTGGTTTGAAATAGCCTCATTTTATGGCATTTGCATCTGTCAGTCAGCAGGCTCTGGAGGTTTCTGGTGCTGTGCTGAGGGCTATGGGGGAGCTCACATGGACAGAGCACCATCCATACCTTCAGGCTCACCTGGCAACAACTCCAGAGCAAGGCAGAGGAACGTGCCACAAAACGCCGGATCGTGTGGGCCCCAAGGTTGCGTGACCACACTCCCCCACCAAGGGCACCAGCTTTCTGATGGGAGCAGTGCAGTAGTGCTGGTGTGTCTGGGGGTATCTGGGGCGCACTGGCTCTCTGTGATGCTTCGAGAATGGTGGATCCTGGGTTAATAAACCTAGGAAGCACTGCATACAATCCCTCTGCCCCCGGGTGCATCACAGTATACATGAGCTTATTAAAGGCTCTGAGAAGGCCCGCAGTAAAGAGACCTGTCAAACCCAGTGTCTCTTAAACTTGGGTTCACCTGGTGAGTGGACAGTGCCCCAGCCTCCACGGCAGGCTCTGTGGTCTGGGGCTGCTCTCAGAGCCTCCCTGGGCCTTTGTTTCTCCATTTGTGAAAAGAGGGGAAATCTTTCCATTTCTCACACTCTGTGACCCCAGCTTTGCTCACCATGTCACTTCGGAGAGCATACGGAGGCAGTGAACATGGGGCCAGGCAGGACCCACAGAGGAAGTCCAGTATATATTGTTGAGTTGGCATGGAAAGGGTGAGGTTGAGAAATCTGTAATTTCATTTAAAAGCAAAGAGGTAAAACTAAAGTGTGCTGTTGGTTATTCCAAAGTAGCATCCATCTGTTTATGTGGGACGATGGAGCAAGGGATGTAATATAAAGAAGAGATACAGCCGGATGTGATAGTATCGAAGGAGTATCCAAACTCCAGTCTCTCAAATTCAAATTCTGTTTCCTTTCCTGTGACCCTGGAGGGATGAGAGGGGCAGGAGCACCTGAGGGCCCATCCTGGGGTTGTCAGGCCCCAGAGAAGGTCTGCGTTGTTTCCTCCCCATCGATATGTTGAGACTTTGTCTACATCAAGCCTAATCATGCTCAGATCTCCGGGGGCTGCATGGGGCAGTGGTGGAGAATCTGAGAATCATCACAGTGTTTCTTTTGTGGAAGCACGGGCTGCCCAGGTGTCACACGCATGTGACAGGATGTGAGGCCTGCCCTTGTTTCTCTTGCTTGGAAGTGTGTGGCTCCCCATTCATGGGTGGGGTTCCAGTTTGCAAAGATGGTATTTCGGCTCTGCTTTCTTCAGGATGCAGGGAGAACGGGGGAGATGTTAATTCTCGCTGGGGTCACTGGTGCCGTGTTACCGACCCCTGCTGGCCTCCTGAGCTGGGAACCGGCTGCAGAGGCCGTGGCACTGAGGGCATAAGCACAGGCAGGGAGTCGTCAGGCCGCTGAAACTCCCGCCTTCCCCTCTCACCAGCCCTGGGAGGCTGGGGGTAGGGGTGGAGGGGGTGTCACTTAACTCCCTGGGAATTCAAATTCATCCTCTGTGAGTTGGGGCAAGCACACTTTACAACACGCTTGCAAGGATAAGAAAAGATGACTCACATAACTCACCAGGTCTGGCAAATTGTAAACTTTTGATGTGCGTGATTTGTACTTTCATCGAAACGTGTGAGCGAGCCCTCTGCACTCACCTGATGTTTCTTGAGCGGCCCCGCAGCACAGATGCTCTGAGAGGCTGTAGGGTCATTGGCGTGGCCGTTTCTGGGCTCCTCGGCTGAAGAACACATCACAGAGTGTCTTTGTTATGGCCACGTTGCTGACTCAAAAGCTAAGAGGATTTACCAGCTTCCGGGGGTCTTTGGAGGAGGCTATCAGCCAGGGTTTCACTTCTGTAGGTCTTCAGCATCCGTCACAGTGCTGACTCAGTGGATCAGGGTGAGTCAGGGGAAGGGCTTTTGGAGATCAGAATACTTCCTCCTAGGTGCTGCCTTCCGACTCACGCCAGCAGGGAGGTGAAACACCCACTGACATCCTTCTAACCCTTGATCTGCTTCCTGGAGTTTTTAAACCACTGGTTTTGCTCAGACACGCTGTCCTGTCACAGCCAGAGCCCCATCGGCCCCACTCCAATTTGGGTAATTACGTTGGACCCACCTAAAGTTCCCCTGGGATTTCCAATTAGATATGGGATGCTTCTTCCCAAGCAGCTGTAATCTGTCACCCACTCCCCTGTTAAACAGATACCGCATTCCACCCCAGAGGCAATCGGCTGCCCTTTAATGATGAGAAAAAAATTGCCCCTTTATCCCTCCCGACCCTGAGAATCCCTGAGGCAGAGTGAATCTGTGCCTGGGAGTGTCCCGAGGGTCTCGGATGCCCTCCCCAAGTGACCTGCTGAGTCCTCTGAGACATTCACTATTCTTTGGTGATTTGCAAACAGCTCACACTGGAAGCTGCAAACACAACTTAATCCAGTTGTGGCCAAGTCAGAGCCTTTGACAGATGTTTTCTTCCACGGGGCAGGACCAGGTTGGCTTTTAAAACTGGGCGATGAGGCTCATAAAAGCCCTGGTTACAATGCACTGTGGCTGCCCTGGGTTTGATTCAGTCTGACCTCAGTGATTTGCCCAGCCCCATGATGACATGGAAGGACCAGCCCTGGGTGATGATAAAACTGTCAGGTGGGGTTCAGATGCCTGGGCTCCCCTACTTGCTTCAACCCCTCTGCTCCTCTCTGCAGTTAGGCAAATGTCCTCGGGAATAGGGACCAGGGCCTCAGTGATGGATAAGACACCATCCCCTGCATTAAAGAGCTAGACAAGTAAAAAGCATAGAAAAGTAATGTGTTTTGTGCAGAGAAGAGAAGAATGGCTACAGTGTATTGAGGGGCCAGCTTCCAGCCCTCAGAGTTTTCACAGACTTCCTACAGCTTCATCTTCCAACTCTCCCATGGGTCAGGATTGTTACATAGAGTTTACAGGGGATGCAGACTCTACCCGGAGGTAGAGCAGAGGGTGGAATCCAGGTCCACCTGACTCCAAAACCCGTGCTCCTCTATGGAGCCCAGGAAGGGAGGCGGGGAAGGGGGAGGATTGTGGCCCGGGGAGTTTCCCTGGAGGAGGTGAGAAGCAAAGAGGGAATCAGAGTTGGCAGGGAAAGGAGGTGCTCCTGGCAGAAGGAACAGCACGGCAAAGGCATGGAGTCGTTGGACAACGCTGTGCTGGGTATTTCTGGTCATTTCTTTTTTTTTCTTTTGGCCGCACAGGGTAGCTTGCGGGATCTTAGTTCCCCAACCAGGGATCGAACCTGGGCCCACAGCAGTGAAAGCATGGAGTCCTAACCACTGGACCACCAGGGAAGTCCGTGTGCTGGGTGTTTCTGGGAGGTGACCTGGGAGTTAGGCTTCACTGAGAGGCCACTGGTAGTTTTCCTTTAGCTCCTCCTCAGGGCCTGTAACGGGGGTTGGTCGGAAACCCAAGCGAACAACCCAGAATTCAAGGGTGGAAGGAGGCTTGAAGGCGGTCCAGGGGCTTAGCCTCTGGCTCCTTGTGCCCCAGTCCCGGCCCCATGGAGCACGGCTTGTCCCTCTTCCAGGCTTTTGCCCCTGCTGTTTCCTCTGTGGGAAATGCCCCCACCTCCACCTTTTCTACCCAAAGAATTCCTGCTTACCTTTCAGAGCAAATGTTACCTCTTCTAGGGTAGATTTCTGGATTCACCCGGTTGGAATTAGTCTCTCTCACCTCTATTCTAACATTTCATATTAAAAAAAAAAATGGTACCAGTAAAGCACTCGTTAATCTTCATAACAACCCTGGGAGGCAGGTATTATTATCCACCGTTTTACAGATAAAGAAACTGAGGCCTAGGGAGATTACGAGGCTTTTCTAAGGATGCACAGCTGGTGGATGGGGAAGCAGAGAGTCAAACTCAAGTGTGTCTGAGTGCAAAGCCTGTGAGTTGTCACCGGCCATGATTGTCACTGGCAGTGGATCGTTAAGCCCTCCGGGGCTTCCAGGGTCTGTGTCTTGGCACAGAACAGTCTGGACTCCCCAGAGTGCCTGGCACAGAGCTGCACACGGGGCTGACACTGTCCGAAGATCCGGGGAGCTGAGTTGGTGGGGCAGAGCCTCTCCTGGGCATGTGGATGGAGGGGAGGGTGAGGGACCTGTCTCAGTCACTCTCAGCAAGAATCCGGTGATGGGGCTTCCCTGGTGGCGCAGTGGTTGAGAGTCCGCCTGCCGATGCAGGGGACGCGGGTTCGTGCCCCGGTCCGGGAAGATCCCACATTGCCGCGGAGCGGCTGGGCCCGTGAGGCACGGCCGCTGAGCCTGCGCGTCCAGAGCCTGTGCTCCGCAAGGGGAGAGGCCACAACAGTGAGAGGCCCGCGTACCGCAAAAAAAAAAGAATCTGGTGAGATGCTGACCCCCGCCTGTCCAGCTCCCTGCAGGCTGTCCCTGGGCAGGAGAGTAGACATCTCACAGTTTCCTCAAAGACTCAGGGTGACCCGGACCCATGGAGTAACCTCATGCAGTGATTGGCTCATTCCACCTCTAACTTCCAGGAGTCAAGCCTGCCTCTCAATGATCAAATTTCCGAGGGTGCTCTGAAGGGGTGTTGCAGCCGGAACAAGGAGACGCCAGCTTTTATTTGTAAGGGGAGAGTGGTGGATCCACACTGTAACCAGTTCTTCCACGCAGACTCGAGGGAAAGAAAGGAGGCAACCTTTCCCCCCCTTTTCCTGTGGGCACCTTTATCCTAAATATATACATCCAAGCCAGCTGTTCCTCCATCCCAAGACGTGAGCCTCTCGCAGGTTTACGATGGCTGCCAGCAGCCTCCGCTGGCAGTGGGCGTGTCCACCCTGCCGCAAGGTAACTCTGGTGAGAGGCCCCCTAACCTCACTTTCCTGAGGCTCCGTTGCCCGTCCAGGCAGCGGATGGTGGTGCTGCAAGGGATCGTAGTGATAACACAACTGCTTTTACTGAGGACTTACTGTGTTCAGACGCTCTGCTAGGCACCTTACATAGCTTTTCTGCAGTCATCAACCCGCATATAAGGAGTGAGTGTTACTACTCCTTGTTGCCAGGAACAGAGAGGTCCAGGGACTTGGCTGCCCGGTATTCAGACTCAGGTCTGTGTGACTCTAAATTCTCCTCTGCCACAATGCCCTCCCCATCTTGCTAGTCACCAAGACTTGAGTTCCAGTGCTGGCATTACCATGAACTTGCTCTGTGACACTGGGTGACTCACTCTCTCTCTCTGGGCACCAACTTCTTAAGCAAAATAAGGATGTTGGATAAGACATCTCTAGGTCTCCTCTAGTTCTCCGAGTCTAAGAATGCCTCTGCTTCAGAAGGTGTCGGCCAAAGGGCAGCAGAGTTCCAGTGGCTGGGCATCCCAGTTCCCTCCTCTGTTTGGATGGGTTGGCTTTGAGCTGTGGTGAGTCTCCTGGGGCCATTCAAGGTTCTGAGAAATCTCTCTTTCATTTTGGTGAGAGACCTTAGAAGAAGCTTCAGATGTGAGGCAGAAGTGGGCAGCCCTTCTATTGCATGGCCAGGAGGGTAGGACATTTCCTGTTAACAATCCCAGGATTCCTGGGCAACCCAGCGGACCTCTCTGAATCAAGGCCAGATGGGAGGTCACAGCTGGAAGGGACCTCAGAGGTCGTCATGTCCAACCCCCTCATTTTACAGATGGGGAGACTGAGTCCCAGAGTGAATTAGTAACAGAGTGAGGGCTCGAATACAGGTTCTCTCTTTCATTTATTCTCTCGAGAACAGGCTTAAAAGACTCCCTTTCCTGAAGGGGGGAAGACAGACCTGAAAACAACTGCAATCTAAGTGGTGATCGTTATTCAGAGGTCTCTTGATTTCCAACCCAGTATTTTTCCACTCCTACATCCTGCCTTGCCAAAAAGATGTTTAATAAGTTTCTGAGATGTCAGTGCTAGAATGGCCTCTAAAGATCTACTAGTCTTGGGATGGCAAATCCTTGGAATTTGGGATTCCTCTTCCCATTTCCTGGCCATGGCAGACATCACAAGTGGCTCACCAATGCTCTTCCCATAGAGCCCAGACGAGGCCTCAGTTCTTTACATGGAACTCCAGCCAGGCACTACCAAGCGATCAGAGTTGGCACATGGCATCGATGTCTTCTGCCATTCCTGATTAGCTCAACGACATCCGTCATCCACAACGACAAATGTACTGAGCTCTCACTTTGTGCTGGGCCCTGTCCTGACTACTGTGTTTTAGGTGTGTCATCTCCTTTAACCCTGAAAACAAGCCTACAGGGTAGGTACTGTTATGACTGCCCTTGTGCAGGCGAGAAGACTGGGGTCCAGGGTCCCCAGATCACTAGCAGTGGAGCCGGAAGAGGAAATAGGTCTCCCAGTGCCTCATCCAGTCCTGTTGCAAATGGCTGGGCACTGGGCAGGTCCTGGCTATGTCGAAAAACTGCCATTTCTCCAATAGACTGATTTAGTGACATCTTCCCATTTTTGTCTTTTCTGAAGGAGAAACCCCATCCTAACTTTCTCTGCCCAGCCTTTGCCTCTGCCCCCGAAGCCACCTCTTCCAGGCCCTGGGCAGTATGAGATCGTGGACTACACGGGGCCCCCCAAGCACTTCATCTCCAGTGCATCCTTCGTATCCAACACCAGCCGGTGGACAGTGGCGCCGTCCCAGCCAGGCCTGCCCGGCTCGCCTGGCCCAGGTCAGAGGATTGCTTTCAGTGATTGTAAAAACCAAACCTGGAATTGTTTGTCATTCCTGGGCCATCAAATACCACTGATTTATAGGCTGTTTGCCAAACAGTTTACAGGGGTTAGAGTGGATCTAGAAGACTTTTCAGCTTACACTTTCAGAGTATGAAAGGTGGGTTTTTGTTGTTTTTTTTTTAATTTATTTTTTTAAGGTGAAAGGGCTCTTAGAGATGATCCAGGTCAGGGATTTATAACTGAGGACTATGAATGTTTCAAGAGACACAAAGCTGGGCTCCAGGAGGTCTGTGACCCTGAAATAGTCTGCAAATTTGGAGCATGCAGATATTATTTTCTGTGGAAAAGAGCCATAGCTTTTGTCTAAAAAGTTCATGTTCTTAAGAATGTTAAATCGTAGGTCTAGTCTGGCGGGGTCACCTCCCAGATGGGGAAGGCCCGGAGAGCAAGGTGTCATAGCCCTGCAGAGGGTGAGCGGAGGGCAGAGGCCCAGACGCTCTCGCCTCAACGCCTTGTCTGTCATGAAATAAAACAGGGCTCCACCCGAGCAGCTCTTTCAAGCCATATAGTTACCCCCAGGATCTGCCTGAGAGCTGATGGTCTGAGGGACTTGTTCCAGTGGGTGGTCCCTGCACTCCCCTGCCTACTTGGAGCCCCTAGCTATTTACCACCCCCGACACTGGCCAGAGTTTATGGCATTGGGGAATGACAGGTGCGCTGATGGGCTGGTGGCGTGGGAGGGGGAAGGCAAGAGCTGAGGTGGCCACCAGACCTGTGAAAGTCAGGCTCTCAATGAGCATCACTGATGCTCCCACCCTGCGGAGGCAAAGATGACTGAGGCTCAGTGCTGGCCCCCGAGGCGTCCCCTTCCCTCCACACACACAGGTGAGTAAAATGTAAGGTAGGCGGGACAGGGAGAATATCATTCTCATGGCTCTGTCCTTGGAAACGTAGTGATAAGCCAATAAGATGGTACAGGTTTGACCTACGGGTCATCTGGTCAGTCCAGGCAGAACTCAGCTTGGTCCCACAAATGTACGAATGCCCCATGGAGTGGTGGTGCCAGGACCCCGGGGACCAGCCGGATCCTCGTCTGACCCTGTTTGGCCCAGTCCTCTAGGAGCTTTCTCCAAGCATCTTCTCCATGCGGGCACCTGGAGCGCAGGTACAGGCCGGGGCCTGCTGCTGTGATCACCTAGGCCAAGGTGGGCTTCCCTGAGGGCCTCCCAGAGTAAGTACATGCAGACATCTGCCTTCTTGGCTTCCAGTGGGCGCAGATCTACCTGGACCCCTCAGCAGCTTCCTGAGGGTGTACCGGAGGCCGTGCGTGGCCCTCGTGAACAAATCAGCATCAACGCAAGAGTTTCCAGCCACCCCAGGTTGTGGTTCCCAAGCCCTGCGTGGTCCTGGCTGCTATTGTGATGGCTTTCAGTTTTCCCGAAATTTCTGAACTAAATCAAAGCAAACCCGCATTAAGCTGACACCTTGCTTCTATAAGAGTGTTGCTCTATTCATTTCTTTTCAAATTTCCTACAAAACTCTTTTGTAAATTTTCTTCTGTTAAAAAAGTTAGTGAGTTGAAGAAGGTGGGCAGCCGGAGTTCGAGTCCCGCCTGGGCCAGTTCAGAGCCGGATGACCTAGGCCCAGTCCCTCCCTCCCTGTCTCCCCACATGTCAGGTGCAGGGGTCCCACCGGCCTCACCCGCTCCAACGCCGAGTGCCAGGACCTTGAGAATTGGCCTTTTCTCTCTCAACACTGTCTCTCTGTCTCCTCTCACAGCCACATACAAGCCGGAATTCCCTGGAAAGCAGTCCTTTCTCTACAATGAGGATAAGAAATGGATCCCAGTGTTGTAGTCACCTCATCCGAGCTCAAGGAGACCCCCCCCCCCCCCCCACCTGTCACCCCAGGCACCCCGGATGGTCATTCAGAGAGCGCCCATCTCGTGTGTGACGCCTGATGACTTGGGACGTCCTTGCCCCCGCCTGGTGTTACAGCTGGCCTGCCGTGCTTGTCCTTGTCCTGAGCTGCCCCCTGGAGCGTGGACCCCCACCCCACGGACCCCTGTGGATTCCTGAGCAGACAGAGCCCCCTGGGTTACTTGGCCTTGTGCCCTCCGGCCTGGCTCGGCCCGCCTGCCCTCAGCCCTCAGAGCTCGTGCAGCTCAGGATCCAGTAGGAGGTGGCCGATGGCAGATGCCCCGTCTGGAAGCCTGCTGCTGAGCCAGGGCTCTGGGGCCGCAGGGTGGGCAGCGCAAGGCCGCGGCCCCGGCACACTCCCATGCTCTGGCCTTGACCTCCAGACTCCTCCCGGAGTTCCAGGAGCCGGGAAGGCCCACAGGCACTGTGACAGGGACCTGAAGGGGTTGCCTTGCCCTCGCCCCCAGCTCAGCCTCGTGTCTCGCCCTAGGAAGGGCATGGCAGCGTCACCGTGGTCACATGAGCTCATCACCCACTTTCAGGAGAGGCCTCCGCATCCATTTGTTGGCTCCACGCACAAAGGGCAGATGTGGGCAGGACCCTCTGGGGCCAGAGCCCTGGGCACAGCGGTTCTGAGGGACGCCTGCAGGTTCTTACTTTTGCCCGGCCTTTCCCCTTCCCTGGCCTGGTCTCCGTCCCTCCCACCTCATGCTCAAGTCCAATATGATCTTTAATGGATCCTTTCTGGCCTGCCAAGTCGGTCCCCCTCAGCAAGAGGATGAGATTCTCAAAGAACCAAGAGGAACTACAGTTAACCACACATCCCCTCCTTCCCCAACTATCCACGTGTCTTGGGCTCTTGTAAGTGGAAGCCTCTTGCGCCACCTCCCTCCCCTCCGCATGTCCCTCCCTTGCCCTTGGCTTTCTCCTTTGACTTTCCTCAGTGACTGTTAGTCCAGAACTGGCCGCTGACTGCCTCTCCCTTCAGGGAGGGGCGGGTGAGGGAGAGGGAGGGAGAAGGATGGCACAACGGGTCCAGTTAAACAGAGTTCTCATTTCTCACAAAAGCTGGCCTTGTTGTGAACCTCAGATTCCCGCAAGTGCCCCACTGCTTTGGGATGAGCGGGAGGCAGCCTGGAGCATGGCGCCAAGAGCGACCAAGGTCTGGACCTAAAGGTGGACACCTTGTGCTGAGTCTGCTCAGGTCCTTAGCTTCTCCTAGAGGTCAAGAGTCGGATCCGAATTTGGAGGTTCAAGGTCAAGCACTTCCACGTTTGGGCAGGCAAGGCAAGGGAGCAAAACAGGTGAGGCGAGAGGAGGTCCAGGAGCTGAGGAGGCTGCCCATCTAAAGGCCAGCTACCTATTGCCAGATCTGCAGATTTTTCAAAAGAACCTGGGAAATTTTAAAATGTGAAACTTCTTGATCGGAGATGTTAACAACCATATTTCAATTAAAAATTTTTTGTTCAGGCTAAAGGAAACTCTTCTGCTAACCATCAATTGTCCACTTCGGCGCTAGAAATTCCGGAAGACCCCTTTAAGGCTGACACTTGAAGCTGCACCTTTCTTTGAACCCAGACTCTTGACAATAGGGCCAGACCTGAAGGCCTTGGCTTTTAGGTCCCTCTGACCCTAGGAGACCTTAGCAGGCCACTGGGCTGGAAGCAGCCGGCCCTGGGATCACTGCAGGCAGAGGCTGGCGGGACTGCATAGAAAACGAGACAGGCCGCTCCTCCCTGGGGCAGCTGGGCTGAGCACCAGCAGGTGGGGTCTGTCTCTATAGAAACCCCTCCAAGTGGGGTCAGGAAAGTGGAGAGTCTGGGAAGAGGATGGCCGGGCTGCTCTTGGCCAGTCGGAATCGGGGTATTCCATAGAAGACACGGCTGGAGGTGAGGCCCTGAGCTCAGAGGGTCTGTCTGGGTTGTACCCAGCCTCTCTGAAGATGTCATAGGCTGCTCACAGCCCTGTCCAGCCCTGTGGTTCTCAAGCCCCATCTGTATGGTAGGATCACTTGGGGAGCTGTTATAGAGACTGCCCAGGCCCGACCCTCAAAGTTCTGATCTGAGGTAGGGTCTGGGCAGTGGTATCTTTATTAACATTCTTGGTGTGATTGCAAAGTGTCTAGTTAGGGTTAGGATGTACTGCTAGTATTTTCCTAAATTTAATGTGCATACAAATCACTTGGAGATCTTATTAAAAGATCTCGGGTGGGGCCCGAGAGTCTACGTATTTTTTCTTTTTTTTTTTTAAATTGAGATATAATTGAAATATAACATTGTATTGGTTTTAGGTGTGTTTCTAACAAGCCCCCAGGTGATGCTGATGCTGCTGGCCCATGGACCACACTTAGAGCAGCAAAGGTCTAGTAAATACACCTAATTGTGGAGCTCTTCATCTGGCTCTCCGTGTGTTCATCCAACTGCCTGTCAACCTATTTATCCTTCCCTCCCTCCCTCCTTCTTCCTCCTCATTATTTGTTCATTCCCTCACTCCTGCGTTCCTCATCCATCCTTTTCTCCCCTCACTCACTCGCTGTCTACCGTGCAAAGCTACCTGCAGGCAGGGGATGGCAATTCCTCCAGCCACCAGCTGCGTTTGTAGTGACCCCCGTTTGGAAAGGACTTACCTTCACTCCTTTCACCTTTCCACTCTTTGAAGAAGGACAACCCCGGAATGGCTGCTGTCGGGCTCAGGAGCTGCCCTTTGCTCCCCGACCTTCTCTGAGGGCAGGACAGAATTTCCTCAAGCCTTTCAGAGCTCTATTTGCTTGAGGTCCAAATGGCCTCCCTAGCCATAGATGGCCTCATCTGTTGTCTGCTCGTGTGAAGGGGAGAGAAATGGGCCCTGGCATCTTGGCTGGAGGCCGTGGGTGGAGGTGGATGTGGAGCTGCAGGCCCCACCCCTGAGCTCGGCAGCAGGCTTTGCACTGGTCCCCATAGTTCCCTGTGTGCATTAGTCCAGCCAGACACTGGCAGGTTGCAAAGGCAGCAAGGCCTATGGAACGACGGCCATAGAGCAGTGGTTCTCGACCTTGAGTGCACATTGTAATCACCTGGGGGGCTTTAAAAGTACTGAGGCCTGGGCCCCAACCCCAGAAATTCTGATTTAATTGCTGCAGGGTGTGGTCTGGGCAGTGGGGATAAAAGCTGCCTAGGTGATTCCCGTGTGCAATCAAGGTTGAGAAGATCGCCTTCCTGCTTCTGGAGGCTCTGGAAGGAAACGAACAGGTGTGGAACACCTCTGCGTGCCTGGCCACGTGCTGATACTCTGCATATGCTCTGCCATTTCACCCTCACGCGGCACCCAGGGGGACGTAGCAGCGAGGCCCGCAGTGGGCAGAGCAGCTCTGGGTGCTCCATGGGGTCGCTCCAGCAGTGCCGGGCAAGCTGTATTGGAGTCAGAGGCCACAGGAAACATCAGTAATACTGCCTTTCATGTCAAAGTTTTGATATTTTATCATGTTTTTTTGGCCTTAATTTCAAAAAGCATCGCATTGGACTGTGACTTAACTTGGTTACTGAGCTCTTTGGCTCCTCTTAATTTTGTGCCTGAGGCTAGGGCCTCACTTGCCTGACCTGAGTCCTGGCCACAGGGCCTTGAGAATTAGGACTCTAGACCTCCTGTCAGAGCCGGAAGGCCCTTGGAGACATCCACGGTTTTCATACTTCTTTTTTTTAAGTTTAGTTCAGACAAAAGTTAATACGAGAAATCTTAGTGTGTAAACGAAGGAAAGCAGAGCTGCTCTGACTGAGTCTGGGGAGGATGCCTAAGGGCTGCATGCTGTCTCCTCCCCCACATTGTAGGGGCCTTTGAGACCCACCAGTGAACCGTGGGGCTCCAAAGATGATAGCTACCCGATGACCCATTTTACAGCCAAAGAAGCTGAGGACTAGAGCTGGTGGTGTGCTGGTAAGCCAGAAGGGCTGAGGGAGGAAGGAAGCTCTGACTTGCCATTTGTTCTCTAGGGAAAATAAGGCCTTGACTTGTGGCATTTGTCAATTCCTGCGGTGTAAAAACTCCCTCCAACATACTGACAGGGCGTCACTGACCTCAGAGTCGGGGAGAGACGGCTGGATCGCGTCTGTGAGCGGTAGGAGCCGGCAACAGGAAAAGTGAGTTGGTCGAGAGCATGGGGGCAGAACTGGCAGGAGAGCGTGGTCACACGGCTCCCAGCCCTGGGCTCTGCCCACTGCCCCAGCTGTGAGGTCCTTAGCAAGGGCATCCTGGGACTTCTTCCCCTCCAGAGTCAGTGATCCCGACGTCATAACGTTCAGCCTGTGGGGCCACACAGGACAGGCCACACAGGACAGGCCACACAGGACAGGCTGGGCATCAGGACTCGGCCGCCTTCCATGGTGGCACCTCTGCTTCACCAGGGCCCAGCACTTACCAGCACCCTTCAAGTTCGAGGCAAACCTCTTACAGGATAGAGAAGGAGAGAGGCCTTGTTTACTTTCGCCCTCTCCTTCTGGAAGACTTTCACAAAAGGAACTAGTGTAGCATTTGAAGTAATACATACGTAGAATTTTATTACTAAATACCATACGAGTATACAAAATGCATAACTGAATAACAGCTAAAAAAATAATCCAAGAAATGTGAAATACACATTTTTTGAAATGATAAAAACGTATCCATGAAAAATATAAAGTGTTGCGCACACATACAATATATACTTACATATAAAACATAAGTGAAAATTGTAAATAAGAAATGTATACAGCAGTGAGCAGGCATGGCGGTCGCTTTACACCGAGGCCACTTCGTTCCAGTCGGTCGGCTCTGACTGCTGTCCGGTGTGGAGGAAGTACATCCATGAGGAGAGTATTTCCACTACAGTGTCTTTCAAAAGTCATTTGCACTAGAAATCAAGTGTTTTCAAGTTAACAACTGACCAAAGGGTGAGGACTCATTGGTCTGAAGTTGATGGAAGAGTCAAGAACGGGAAGAGTGAAGTCAGCTTGGGGAGACAGGGCCCACTTCCCCCATCCGAACGGCAGCCCGCAGGAGAGGGGCTGTAGAGAAGGTCTTCCGAGGAGGAAACAGCCTCTGGGCTTGTTAACCAACATGACGCTGTCTCTGGCTGGGCAGGCCCTGGCCGGAAGTTCAGAGAATAGATTCAAGCACGAGATGAGGGTTCGGATCAGGACACCTCCCAGGTCCCTTCCTGGCCTTGACGTCTGTGGGTCTGTGACTTGAGGGCCTCTTCCCTCAGGGAAGGCATTCAAGTAACAGCACTGAGGCATGCGGAGAGGTTGTGTGTGGCGCGGGGCCACTTCCCAGCTGGCTCCTCGCCTGGGGTCCACTTCAAGAGGTCTGAGGCTGTGGGCGCCCAGGGCTCACAGCTCCTTAAGGATGATCTGAATCTTGCCGTCAAGCTCCCCCATGTCCAGCAGGAAGGCGACGTGGTTGCTGTAATGCTGAATGATGTTGTTGTCCATGTTGACCAAGATTCTGGAAGAGAAGAGAAGGTGTGTGTAGAATGGGCTGGGCCCCTTGTTTACAGGACCTCTGAGTAAAGGGGGACAGTAATGGCTGCTACCTATCGGGCGCCCCCAGCACTTCAGGCACCTCTTGGACTTTCTCTCTGACCCGCATAACAACCCACAAGGTGGGCACTCACTGTCCCACTTTACAGGGGAGGACACAATTCCCAGTGGCCGAGCCCAGCTCAAACCCAGGCCTGCTGGCAGCCACGCCCACCTACTGCACCAGATCGCCTCTCCTCACACACACGAGCGTGGACGCAACCAGCGCAGTGCGCCTTAGTCACCAGGCCAGACTGAGCACTCGGACGCGGAGTGAGTTCAAGTGCAGGAGGCATGGCGGGTGGACCCGTGAGGTTTGGGTTCAGCAGGAGGCTGTGATGTGGCACTCAGATGTGCCCGCCTGACCCACAAGCAGGTGCCACGCAAGGCCCCCTCGGTTTCACCCCAGGAAGCTGAAATCTCAGGGATAGCATCGTGGACTTGAGGGGCTTGGCTCTCTCCCCCCACAGTCTTCAGGCAAGGACCTAGGCCAACCTGAGAGGGACAGAGCCTCTGTGGGTGTGGCCCTCTGCAGAGGGTCAAAGTCATAGTGTAGCCAAGGGCACCCCTCTAGGAGCTGCCTCCCCAGTGAAGGACCCACCGGGCTGTGACCTGACCTGAGCACAGCAGCTTCCTCTTTGTAATGGGGCAGGTGTTTTCCTCCATCCACCCCTCCATCCACTTCACCAGCATCTGCTGAGGTCTTTCCATGTTCAAGACCTTGCTCCAAACAAAAACAAGGGCCACATAGAGATCCTAGGTCCCGCCCTCCAGGAGTTTTGAATCTACTAGGGGTCGGGAGAATGGATCCTTATAACCGTATTAGCCCAGTTCACAGATGGGGTAGCTGAGCAAAGTCATTTGCCTGGGATCACACAGTTAAGAGATGGCAGAACTGGAATTTGAATCTGGACTTTTGTCTCTTTCCACTGCATCGTTTTTTTAGAAAAACAACAACAAAACCCAAAACCCTATAATTATAAGTTAGGAAGTGGCATATAAAAGGAAGGGAAAATCCAGGGCTGGGGGAGAGTTCAAGATAAGGCAAGATTATTTAAGTGGGACGGGAGGGAGGGCGGTGAGAATCCCAGACTACTACTCCTGGCAGGTAGCCAGCCGTCTGCTTTCCCCGGGGACCCCAGGAGAGGCGGTGGCTTTGTCCCCCCAGCCCGAATCCCCCGGACCAGGAGGTGTAATGGAGACAGCAGTGGGCTGAAGCCTGCGGCCCACGCCCAGGGTCTCTGCAGTAGCATCCAGCAACCGCTGCTTTCTGGAAGGAGGTCTGGGCTCAGGCTCCGAGGCCTGGGTGCTGACTGCCAGCATCTAATTATAAGATCCTGCTTCCTTGGGTCCTGTGTGCAGTTCCTTCATTTCACAGAGGGATCTTTGTCTGGGAGCTGCCGGCTGGGAACAGACCAGAGGAGACCAGGGCTGGGGCAGAGGGGTGGGCGCTTTGTCGGTGATGGTGCTTTTGTTCGTCTCCTACAGTGGCATTTACTGAGTGCCCTACGTGCACTAACTTGAAGGCCTACTCTCAGGCAGGGCCTCCCAGAAGGCCCGGAGCGCATGCCCGTGCACAGGGGATCCCACACAGGCCCACAGACCCTTTCCTCTCAGAGGTCAATGACAACCGGGCCCTAGAGGCAGGGGCTTGTCAGGAGCCGCTGTCCCAGAATGGGGGCCTCCTGTCACTTGCCAGCTTCTGGCTGTCATCTGTCCTAGTTCGCATAGAACCCCTGGCCAGCCGCCAGCAAAAACAATGTAATTGTTAATCTTTCGAGCACACTCGGTGGTGCTTGTAAAGCTGATTGTATCTACCTTTGTCCAGAGGACTTTCTGGAGGGTTCTGTGAAAATGAGCGAAGCCAGTGGTTACAGTTTCCCGCTCCTCAGATGAGGGGAGCAGCAGAGGAGCCTCCCTCTGCTCTCCCAACAGGCTTTTTGGGGGATTCTTCTCGTTTAGGCATCGCAGACAATCCTAGGCCTGAGGTTTCATAGCTGGGGTGTGTATGGGGTGTGGGTGCTTCTGAAGGGCCGCTGGGTGATGCCCTGGGCTATAGAGCTGGGCAAATATAAATCTGCTGGCCTGGCCACAGCCTTTATTTGCACATTGCTTAGCGGTTAAGGGAACAAGCAGGAGGCAAGATAAAACAGTGGGTGCGTGCATGGGCTTTAGACAGGCCATGCTTGCTCCTGCCATTACTAACTCTGTAACCCTGGGACTATCCCGAACCCCAGTTTCCTCATCTGTAGAAATAATCATACCAAATTCAAATGGTCAACGAGATGATGCTTGGGAGTTCCTTAACCCAGCGCTTGGCATGTAGGAAGTGCTCCACAAATGGAGGTTATTATAATTATAGTTGAAATATCTGGCTGGGGCTTAAGGGAAAGCCTTGCAACTCAGCCAGTGGGGCTATGGGGCATCTTTGTACGCAGTCATACACAAGGCATTTCCCAGCCCCTCAGCGCAGCCTGAGGTGGGAACTGTAAGAGAGGACGGCAGTGGCAGGTGGGGTGGCAGCCAGGGGGTGTGGACACTGGCACCAAAGGGGAAGTGGGGCTGGGCTTGTCTGGGCAAAGCAGAGCCTGCCCTCCGCTATGAGGTGGATTCCGCTCCACAGAGCATGTGAGCTCCAGTTCCCAGTTTGAAACCGAAACTTGGAAGGAAAAAAATACACAAAGAACCCTAGACATTCATACAACCAAAACCAAACGATCCTTTCCCAGGGGCTGCAGGGCTGCACACCTTCCCCCCACCACCGGCCCTTCTATGGGAGGCTGGGTGGGAGCCAAAAAGGGGAGGGAAGGAGGCCTGCCTGTGAGGAAGGAGGTGGCCCCTGGGCCTGACTGGGTGGCCCTCAGTTTGAGTACAAAACATGCCTCATTTTGCAGTCCCCTGAAAGAAGAGCCACAGACAGTAGCCCCAGGGCAAAGCCTGAGCACCTTCCAGGAAGAGCCGCGGGACTTAGTCTCAGGCTGTCCGGAGCTGGAGGGTCAGTCCGAGCTGTTCGGGGGCGGGGAGGGGCTGGGCGTGTTTCCCAGGGCCCTAGTCCAGGGTCCTCTAGGCAGGTAATGGCAGTCACGATTCCTCACTGCACAGGGGCCCCCATGCTGGGCTGGTGAAGCGACCTAGGCAGCAAGGGTTGCAGAGGCCTGGCTCACTGGCTCTGACGGGGGTGGAAGCCTGGGAGGGCCGTCACCACGTGGCCCTCCAACTCCACCCCCCCCATGCCACCCCTGCCAAGGAGAGATCTCCTGGGCAGAGAGCAAAGGCTACTGTGGTCCTTAGCACTAATCCTCTGGAGCCCGTGGCAGGTGGCAGTCACTGCCCGGCCCCCTGGAAGGTAAAGCTTTACTCCCTCCTGCCTCATCCAGACTTGAAGATGGAGGAGGCCTGTGGAGCATCCCTGGCTGGGCTCCCTCAAAATGACGTCCAGGGGGCTTCCCTGGTTCCCTGGTGGCGCAGTGGTTGAGAGTCTGCCTGCTAATGCAGGGGACACGGGTTCGAGCCCTGGTCTGGGAGGATCCCACATGCCGCGGAGCAACTGGGCCCATGAGCCACAACTACTGAGCCTGCGCATCTGGAGCCTGTGCTCCGCAACAAGGGAGGCCGCGATAGTGAGAGGCCCGTGCACCGCAATGAAGAGTGGCCCCCGCTCACCGCAACTAGAGAAAACCCTTGCACAGGAATGAAGACCCAACACAGCCAAAAATAAATTAAAAAAAAAAAAAATGACGTCCAATCACAGTTCCCTTCCCAGACTCATCGCCAGCCATTTCTTTCTCGGACCCTCTGATTCAGCTGGTAGCAACTTTGCTGGGCCCTTCTGCTTCTGTGTCTTTCCTCCACTGCTCCTGCCCCTCTGAACATTGCTTATCACCTCTGAGCCTCAACTTCCCTATCTGTAAAATGTGTGTAATGGTATCTACCTCATGGTATGGGTTAAATGAGGGTTTAACCCGTGAGGGTTAAATGAGATAATGAGATAAGCTTAGCCTAGTATGTGGCACGTAGTAGGTGGTTAAGTGATGATAGTCACCCTCATCATTACCATTATAGTCAAATGACTTGGTTACCTTGGTTATTCCTGACATGTGGCCCTGTGCTTCCCTCTCCCCCTGAGTAGGTGGCGTATGAAGACCCTTGCACCCGGCTCCCACTCCTTTCCTTCCCAACAGTGATCAGTGTCTGGTCTCTGCAGGTGGCCTTGGCCTGATAGGGCGCTCTGCACCCCAACTCCACATCGCCTCTACCTCTCCACAAAGCCAAGTACAAACACAGCTCAGCTCCGAGCAGCAGGCCTCTGCCAGGCAGGGCGAACCTGCTGGGAGCTCCCTGAGCCAACGTTTTAGAGGGAAAGGGGCAGAGTGGGGGTGTGAGGAGGGAGAGCTGTGCTGGGCACTTACCCCCGCTTGCATTTCTTGTAGACTTTGTAAATGTTCTCCTCAGGGAACCCATACTTCTCAGAGATCTGGAAGAGAATGACAGGAGATTCACCATCTGTTGCAAAGCTGGGTTTACGCCAGGCTTGTCTATCATGACTTTTAATTTCCTGATTATAAAATATACCCATATTGTAGAAAATTATAACTCATCCATAATCCTGTATCCCAGAGATAAACACCAATAACATCTGAGTGTATTCCTTCCTGTCTTTTGGCCATGTACACGGGTATTTTTATATCCCACGTAGATAGTTTTACTTATCATTGTATGTTATAAGCCTTCCCATATCACAGCAAACTCTTGACCAACAGCATGTTTAGTGGTTGTAAACTATTCCAAAGGTCATCTGCCATTTCCCTCAACCCTTGCCTATCATCAGACATTTGCATTGTTCCAGTGCTGGGAGCTCCCCACTCACCAGCTAGCTGACCAGCTGTGCAAACCACTCGTGGAGATGGAAATGGTACCTAGTTCATAGGGTTGTTGACAGAATTAAATGAATTGGTCTATGTAAAACACTTAGGACCGTTCCTGGTATGTACTAAATAAATGTCAGTACTCAAATAAATGGTCATTATTACTTCAGAAGTGGTGCGACAGGGATGCTCCTGTCCTGTTGTGGAGGGGGGGAGGGGGGGATAACCCAAACACTTACCCTTTCTAGCAGGAATTATTTACCCCATTTGATGGGTGAGGATGCTGAACTTGAAAAAGATAAGGTATGCACCCAAGGCCTAGCCTAGAACCCAGATTTCCTGCCCCCATCACATCCCAGAACATTGGAGTTTAGTCTACAAGTGAGGAAATTGCAGCTCAGAGGCCTCAGCAACCTGGCTGAGCTCACACAGCGTCAGCCCATTTCTCCCCAGACCTCCTGAAGTCTCCTGTGGGGCAGACAGAACTGGTCTGGTTCCAGTTCCACCACCTGGGGTTGCAGAACTCTGAACAAGTCACCTTACTTCATGGAGCCTCAGTTTCCTCATCTGTAAAATGGGTGCCATGATGGGATGTACACACAGGTGGTTCTGCACAGGAACTGAGACGCTTATGTCAAGGGCCCGGCCCAGTGCCACCCCTGGGGAAAGCTCAGTCAAATGCCGCTGGTTAGTACTACTGGCTGCCTTGGAGCTGCAGAGAGCGGCAAGCAACAAGCTTCAGGCTGAGGTTGTCCTCTCTGGGCCTTTCAGGAAGAGGAGCCGATTCAGCTCCTCAACCGGTCTCTGCCTTGACAGAGATCTCTCCAGGCCAGAAAAGTTCTTAGACTACTTATCTTAATGGCAGGCAATGTGGCTAGAGGCTATCAGGAAGATCTCAAGTCAGTCTAAGCAAGAACTTAGGAGCTTTCTAACTATATGTTGTACAAAGACAACTGCATTGTATGGCTGTCCCCAAAGCGATGAGCTCTCCATCCCTGAAGTATGCAAGTCAAGAGTGGGCACCCACTTGGAAGAGCCGCTGAGGAGAGAGCTGGGGCACCAGATGGGAGCTGGCCCTTTAAGGTACCGTCCAACCCAAAGATTCTGAGTCTATATTCTAGTGACATTAATGGCCTTTTGCGAGCCCAACTTCCTGGGGCTGGTGCCAAGCAGGGCTGACGCTATGTGAAGAGAACAGGATAACATAGCCGAGTGGAGAGAGCTTGGGCTGGAACCTCAGCTCTGTCACTTCTAGTTACCTTGGCAAGTCACCTGACCTAACAGTACCCACTTTTCAGGGCTGTTAAGAGAATATGGTGAGTTAGCAAACGCAGCACGCCTGACAAGATGCCTGACACGTAGTGGGTCTTCGATAAAAGGTAGCTATGTTATCACTTGATTCATTTTCCCTTCCCCAACCTGACATCTTAGAACCAGCTGGCTTTTCTGTGTGGTTCGACCTTGAAACACAGCTGGCCCTGGCAGAGGCTGTGTTTGCTCAATTTTTAGCTGAACCACAAAGCTGCTGTGGATTTTGTTCGGGGCTGTTTCACCTGCTCTCTGGCAGTTTGGGGGGTTGGGGAAGGTCTCCTTGCCCAGACACCACCTTCAGCCGCCCCAGCCAGCGCCCCCCCTCCAACCACAAGCTGGAGGAATGAGGCCCTCTGGGAAAGAAAAAAGGCTATCTCTGGGGCCTGGCCTTTTGGGGTTTCATTCCCATTAAAATAGAAACAGGTTTGCAAAGCCAACAAAAAGCTCTGGCCTGTCAGACAGCAGCCATCAGATTAAGGAGGATTTATGGTGTGTGCGACTCCCAGGGTGGAGCCCGGGTTCTGGCTGGGAGATAACATCTCAGAGGCACACCTCCACCAGCCGGGCCCCACAGGCGCCCTCAGATGGGTGGGACGGATGGGCCACCAGAAAGCCAGCGTTCCAGCATATTCCTTCCCGGAGTCTTCCTGTAGGAAATCGGAACTATATGGCGAAGAGTCGGGGGAGATGGGAGTGCAGAGAGGGCCGCGGCCAGGGTGCACAAGGCCTCTTACCGCACTCCTCAGGCCCTTCAGGTCCGGGGTCTTCAACATGAGGGCGTCAAACACCTCCTCAGTCTCTCTCCGCACGTACAACAGCACTGAGAAGCAAAGGGGTGGCTTTTAGTGGTGCAAGGGAACATCTGGGGGTGGGAGAATCTTAAAAAATATTATTTGTAACCTAAGATTGATTTCTGCAAAAAGAGCAAATCCTTGCTGAGGGTGTGTACCCAGCTGGGAAACACCCCACCTGGCTCTGCGGGTCCCACACACTTGCTCAGACTTTGCTGATTTTGGTGGGTTTGAATCCCTGCTCTGCCACCTGCCAGCTCTGTGACCCTGAAGAAGTTCTTTTAATATCGTTGAGCCTCATTTTTTCCAGATGGAAAATGGAGGCAGCTCCGCCCACTATTTCACAGAGTTGCTGTGGGCAGTATTGATAGAACACCAAGTGGGGTGCAAGGCTCAGTTCCAGGCTGCTGGAAGCTTCTGATCTTGCTTACTGGTTGGTTTCTTCCTGATGGTCAGCTAGAGCACCCCTCTCTCAGGAAGTCACAGACTTACTGTGTCAAAGACAGAAAGCCAGGTATTGAAAACCCACCCCACTCCTACCCCCTTTAGAGAAAGTGGGGAGGACCTGCCCAACATCATGAGCCTGTTGCCTTACCAGCTGCCCCAGGACGCCCACGTTCAAACAGGGTCAGAGGCAGAAGCCCCCCAGCTCCGTGGCTGTCTCTCCAAGCACCCTGGATGCCCTCCTTACCCGCTCCACCCCCTCACTCAAATCCTGGCCCAGGCCCAAACTCCAGGGAGTAAAGCAGCCCCTCGTGCTCTCCCCGCTGGGGTGGGCGCTGCCCTGGCTGCCTGGACCAGAATCAGTCTGAGGCTTTGGGGAGGCCTCATGGAGGGCTGGGGCTGGGATCAGAGGACAGATGGGGTGGGAGTGAGGCTACCTCTCTGTAGATCATCTTCCTTGGCCTGTTTGGAGGGCAGAGGCTCAAACTCCTCGGTGAAGGGTGAGCAGGTACGCTTCAGAGGCAGCCTGTGGGGATGGCAGGGAGAGACCTGTGAGGAACCCAGAGTCTGAGGGGCCCCAGAGGTGAAGAAGACCCTATGAGGGTGGGCACAAAGCAGTGGGACAGAGGTTACAGGAGCAGGTTCTGGAGTTGGCCTGCATGGGTTTAAATCCCAGCCCTGCCCCTCACTAGCAGGGTGGCAGCCCCAGTGTCCCATCTATAGCAGGTGCTGCATCAGGCTGCGAGGCTGGAGGAGACAATGCACACTGCTTTTAGAACAGTGTGTGACACACAGCAGGCCCTCCATAAATAGGGACTATTGTTTCATCATCAATATTATTCTTTTTTGAAAGAATCAAGTTGGACGTGAGTCAGTGGGAGGAGGGAGGCTTGTGGATTTTAGAGTGAGTCAGACTTAGCTTCCAGCCTGCCTCTGCTTCCTAAAAGCTGTGTGACCTTGGGCAAGTCATTTCACTTCCTCTGAGCCTCAGTTTCCTCATCTATAAAGTAGAGCAATAACCCCTGCTTGCCTGACTCACTGGGACTGTTGTGAGGTGATAAGTGACATAATTTGGTGTGAAAGAACCTTACGAAAAGTACTTCTTGTTTATAAGGAGGAGACTGATATCAACAATACACGATCTTCATAAAGTACTTTCCCGTTTACAAAGATTCTATTACATGCCGCTTCTCATATCTGCCTCATTCTCATGAGGCCATTTTCCTCCTTTGACAGATTTCTAGCTGAAGCTTGAAGAGGTGAAGGGACTGTGGCTGACAGAGGGAAGGATGTGGAGGTCCATCCTGGGCTGAAGGGCCAAGGGGCCCTGGCCACCCCCTTGGCCTCTTGGAGTCTGGTGGGTGTGGGGGGAGGGGACACGGGGTTGATTCCCCTAAGTCCTCCCACACAGCTCCCCTCCCTACTCTCCGAATCTGTACCACCATCTCAGAGGCTTTCTCTGTCCCATTTTACAAGCCGGTGTCTCGCCAAAGATTCTCCAACTTTTCAAACAAAACAAACCCATAAAAACTCAGGCAATTTCAGTGAGAAAGGAGCATGAGTCTAGCTTGGGGGTTGGGGGCAGAGTCTCAAGGCTGCTTCCTCCGGGCCCAGCCTCTGGCTTGGGGGACAGCAAAGGGAAGGGCAGGCTGGGAGCTTACGAGCAGTAAAGGGGGGACAGGCAGGGAGGTGAGGCCCTTGGCTGCTTCTCTCCATACCTGTTGGAGGTGCCGTGTCCTGCTGAGGGCACTGCCTGCAATGAAGAGAAAGACATTTTCCATCACATACAGGAAGATGAGAGTAGCCCTCAGCTGCTGGAGGCTTTCTGGGATGAACAATCTTTGTGGGGAGATACGGGGGAATGCAGTTTCAATGGCTTTCTAGCTCATTCTGCTCAGATGTGTCCCCTCAAGTGAGCTGAGACCTTGAGTTGAAAGGAAGTACCAAGCCCCAGTTGGATGAGTCAGGACTCAGTGAACACATGAGGTGCTAAGGAAAGGGCGGCAGAATCAGTGAGTCCCATCTGAGCCCCAGCAGGCCCAGAAGGGCTGCAACTGCAGACTGTCCTGCAGCTGGTAACTAGGTAGTTGGAGCTGAGGCAAAAGAAGTGGAGGGGGAAGAGGCAGTCTTTTTGAACCCTCATGTGTGCCTGGCACTGTACTACCTGGTGCAGCCATCACCAGCCCCGTGAGGTAGGACACCCAGGCCCTAAGAGGGCAGGGTCCCTGGGGTACCACCATGGGGGCAGAACTGTGGCTCAGAACTGGGCTCTCTGCCTTCCCGCACCCCTGGTGCCCTCTCTCAGGCTCACAGGCACAAGCACTGGCGCCCCACTTCTTCCTCCCACAAGGAGCTTTGAGCCCAAGTGGTCATCTCCCTACTTGAGGCCTCTGGTTGGGGAGAGAGAGTGGGTTAATGCAGCCTCCTGTGCTATGGGGGCCACAGAACTACTTCAGGACAGCGAAGGGGGTGTGGCGGACACAGAGAAGGCTTTGAATGTGTGCCAGGGCTGACCTCAGGACTGGCTGCTCTTTCAGCACCATAATCTATCTTATTGTTTGAAGTCACTGCACTGAACACATCCGTACACCGAGGGCCATTTCTGCAAACATTCCCACCTAAACGGTGGGAGCTCAGTGGAAGGCAACAGTCAGATTGTTTAATATGGAAGCAAACTCACAGACAGGCTCTGGGGTCTTGATTCTGCCACTGACTTGTTGAGTGACCTTGCCTGGAAAATGGGAATAACAGTCTCTACCTCAAAGGATGGCTGGGCTGGGCTGCCCAGGTGAGGTGAGGGGGAAACGAGACAATGCAGCGAAAGGCTGGGCCCAGCGCCGCGGGCCGGTCAAGGTGCTTGGTAAATGGCTCCCTGTGTTGAAAGGTGATGTAACTCATGGTAACGGGCACTGTCTCTGAAGCCAGGTTGCCTGGGCCCCAATCCTGGCTCTGCCACGTCCTATGTAATTTTGGTCTCAAAGCCTCAATTTCCATGCCATGAATCCAGGGAGAATCGTATTATCAACTTCACAGGGAGGTAGTGAGGGCTAAAGGAGATAATGCATGGAAAGCACTTAGAGCAGCGCCTGGAGTAAAGTGAGCGCTCACAGGTGTTGCTGTGACGATTATTATCCACCCAGCTTTGATGCGGCCACAGTCTAACTTGGGACTCTGATATTAGAAACCTGCCCTGTGTGTGCTCCAGGAGTGAACATTTTGATGGGTATGAGGTCCATTTCTTTATTAACATTCTTCTCTTCAGTAGAAAAGGTCACTGAAGTTATATGACATATATACATTTTTTTAGTTCCCTGGGATTCAATAAAGATAATTTGATGATATCAGGACCTATCGACATCTAAATTGGCCTGTAATGGCTGAGTAGCAGGTTGCTCCCTGCTGGTCTGAGCTAAGACAGCCCCACCCAGGGGCCACAACCCTCTCTCAGCCCAAGACCCTCACCCCTCCAGGTCGCTGCAGGCCAGAGAAGTGCACGTTGGGGATGAACAGCACTGGCGGGGTCTCCAGGTCTGCCTCAGGCCGCAGGTAGGTGGTCTCATTGCCCCTGAAGCCGGATAGCAGGGAGCCCTTGATGCCTGATGGGAAAAGGAAGGCATTGTGCCGTGAGGGCCCTCCATTTACGCCTCCGACCGCTGCCCTCTAGTCTCCCTTAACCCCAACCCTGCCCCGTTGTGACCCATCCCCACTGACCACTGTTGCTGGAGTCGGGGCACTTGACCTTCCTCCGGAACTGCTTCCGCTCATCATCCCGCATCTTCCTTTCCGCTCCCTGTGGGGGATAAGGGAAAGGCGGTCACCAAAGGTCTCGGGAGGGGCTGGCTGCTTTGCCTCTTAAATGTGGGCCAGCCCTCTGGTGTTGCTTTCTTCCCAGAGCGAGACCAGGAGATGGGACGTTACCAGCACTCGGCCCAGCCCAGTGCAGCCTAGCCCTGAGGTCAGGTAGACCATGAGAGACAGAGAAATAGAAAGACGGAGAAAGAAGAAATTGAGAGAGACAGAGAGGTGTGGGGAGAGAGGAACAGAGAGAGAAACAGAAAAGAGAAAGGGACTCGGAGAGGGATAAGAAGAATGAGAAATGTGAAAAAGACAGACAGACACAGAGAAAAAGAAACCTGAAGAACTATTTACAGAGATCTAGAAAGAGGTCTTCAGAAAGAGGAAGGGATGAGAGACAGAAATGCAGAGAGCAGAGGAAAATATACATAGAGAAACCAAGACAGACGAATGACAAGCACGCAGGAGAGACATTCAGAGAGCAAGAAGCAGAGACAGACACGCCCAGAATGGCTGGGGAGGATGCACAGGTGGGGGCTGGCCCTTCTCCCTCCCAGGGCCCAGCAGAGGGTCCACCGCAGCCACCTTGTCACAAAAGATCTTGATCTGGCAGACAGCTCGGTGTACCAGGCGCTCAGTGCCCGAGCCACAGTCGTAGGTGTCGACCTGCAGGTTCAGGGGGACGCCCTTCACCCCCTTCTGCGAGGAGAAGTCTGTGCTGAGGCAGTTGATGCCGATAAACACCTGGGGACAGAGGAGGGAGCTAAACAGCTGACCCGGGTCACCAGGCCTGCTGTTCCATAACTACCCTGTATAATTATGGAGCCTACTGTGTGCCTGGTGGGCACCCTTAACTGCACAACGCCCCTGGAAGGCAAACATCACCGCCTCTCTTTTACAGACGGGGAAACTGATGCTCAGAGAGGGGTGGCAGCTGTCCCAAGGCGACACAGGGAATGTATAAGGGAACCAGAGTTTGGGCTCAGGTCTTCATCAGTGGACAATGCAGCTTCCACTAGATTGCCAAGGGCAGCCCAAAGGATCAAGGCCCTGGGAGGGAGACTAAGGGTCCTTTAGGAGCTTAAAATCCAGAGCCCATTTTTTTGCAACTCAGAGCAAGGAGGTAGAGAAGGGCCAAATCCCCCTCCCCGCCAGCTCCAGAAGACCGCTTTCCTGCTGGCCCTGGGCCACAGAGAGTGAGACACTGCCCCTATGCACGGCAACCACCAGCTCTAGCCATAGCTGAACCAGTCACCCCCATTGTACAGCTGAGGAAATGGAGGCTCTGAGCATGGATGTGACTTGTTAACGTTTCCACAGGGAGTTGGGCAGGGTGGCATGGTGGAATGAGCCTGGACATCGGGCCACTTAGACCTCTGCCACTCAAGCCATGTGGCTTTGGATAAGTCCTTTAATCTCACGGGCCTCAGTTTCTTTATCTGCAAAATGGAGACAATTAAACCTACCTCTTGTGGCTGTGAGGCTGGCAGAACACCTAGGGGGCTTGGATATTTTGTAACTGTTGTTGTAAGTGGGACAGCTGGAGTCTCAACCCGAAGCCTATGTGCATCTGATGGCAGCCTGGGGTCAGTCTTAGTTGGGCATCTCTTGGCAAGCTCACCCAGTGATTGCCTACTGCTGACTCCTCCGTGGGACCCTAGGCCAGACCCCACTCCAGGCTGGCCCCTGTCCCTTGGGGCATTTCCCTTGGAAATGACCCTGACTTGCACAAGTGGGGGTGGGGTGTGGTACCTGAGCAGACCCCCTTCCTTCCCTGGCTGGGGGGGGCCAGGCCCACAGGTGCATGCCAGACATACCTCCCCCTCAGCCAGCTCAGCCCTAATGCAGCCCCCACCCAGCTCACGCCTGAGAAAGACCCAAGCCTGGGGGCTTAAGAGGCTGTGAGAAAATCCCAACCGAAACCCACCTCTCCCTTCCCACGAAACTCATTCCCCCCCTCCCTGAACTGGAGGCCCCAGCTCCTCCCCCAGTCCCTGGTGTCTGTTTGAATAATAATAATCCCTCACCTTTGTGCCTCCCTTTGTTGTTTTCAGAGTCCCTTCACCTCCATTTTCTCCAGGCAGCCTGGAACGCCCCATGAGGCAAGCCAGGGAGACAGGGATTAGGTCCCCAGCTTTTCTAGGCCAGAAAGGCCCTTGCCAAGAGCCAGACCCAACCTTGGTCTGATGGGGTAAGTCTGGCCCAGGTAGGTGAAGGGACAGGCCCAGGGTTACCCAACTCGAGTCCCCAACACGCAGACTACTGCCCTTTCCACGATGCCACTTGTCCAAACAGAAAACCAAGACACAGAGGGACACTGCAGCACAGGTGACTTCAAGTCTGGTCTCAAGCACTAAACGGCTTAATCACTGGTGTGAAAAAAAATCACCAGAGGCTCCATTTCTCAGGCGTCTCCGATGGGCCTGGCATCGGGCCTGTCCCTTTGACGTGCGTGATCTCATAGGATCTTCACCACAACCCTAGGAGGCAGATTATTCTTCCCTTCCTGTGCGCTCAGGAAGTGAGGTCATGGCTTTAAGCCCTCATCTACCAGACTCCAGAACGCTTCTCCTGCAACGCTCTGCACTAGCCCACAAGTCAGGAAACCTGGCGTCCGCGGCGGCTTGCTGTGTGGCCTCGCACAGGCTTAGCTTTCCTATCTGGTAAATAGGTGGATTGGATTAATTAACAACAGCCACCGCTCATGTGCCAGGCTGTGCTCTACCTTTTCCTTATCTCACCCGATCCTCACGCCAACCTATCAATTGGTGCTATGGTTACACCCCAATTTTCAGCTAAGGCATCTGTCCAAGGTCACAGAGCTGGGAAGTGGGCCTAGCGTTTCTGGCTTCTCCACCACTATGTATCCTGCCTCCTCCACTGGTGCCCTCATCGGAGCAGCTGCCACAATCCTAGGTACAGGTAAGCCCTTTTCCCAGGATGGGGACTTCCTGGCAGCCTAGCCCCATCCTGGCCATGACCCCAGCACTGACCTTGGCCTCCTCGTTGACGTTCCACACGAAGGACAGTGCATTATAGGCCACCTCCTCGATGTGTTGCACAGTGTTGAAGTTTTCTTTGCAGTCAGCTGAAACCACACAGACCAGAAGGAGAGTCAGAAGGGAAGGGATTTGGGGGCCCCACGGGGAGGGGTCATTTAGGGGGTGGGCCTTGTTCTTGGCAGGGACTTGCATCCTCTCCCCCAAGGACCATGCTTCAATGCAGGGAGGAAATTAGTAATTGTGCCCTGGGCTACAGGTGGAAAAACTGAGGTCCAGCCTGAGAAGCAGATCTGTCCAAACTCCAGAGGGACTCCTTAACTTTGCCAACTAGGCCAGGGCCCTCATGATTTTGTGGTGGAGCTTATACTTTTCATGGGATTGTGATTTAGGACATCTCCCAGACAAAGCAGTAGTAGCAGTAGTAATAATCGCAGTAATAGTGGTAGTAATAGCCATAGTAAAAGCCGTAGTACCAGTACTACTAGTATTGAACTAGTCATATTAAATAAATGATAGTACCACTGTCATTTATTGAACACTTACAATATGGCAAGCCTTCAGTTAATCCTCACAATAATGCTATGAATATTCAGCTTACACATGAGGAAAATAAAGCTCAGAGAAGTTTGGTCACTTGCCCAGGGTCACACAGCTAATAAAAGGTAGAGTAAGGACTGGAGTCCGGCTCTGTCTGTCTCCTGAACCCAGGCTCCTAACCACTTTACTAACTGGCCTCTCAGATAAGTCACTGAATCATCCCTATTTGTATTATGTTCTCTAGTACACGTGGCTCCAAGGCAGAAACAGCATCGTAGGCAGGCAGGGCAGCTGCCGTTTTCCCAGTTGACAGCTGAAGAAACCAAGGGCCAGGAAGGGGAGGTGACACAGGTCACACAGCCAGGAAGAGAGTGATAGAGCCAGAACCTGGAGATCTGAGGATGGACTGTGCCTCCCACTCATCTCGGGGCCCAGAACAAGGTGGCACACACAGAAGGCCTTTCCCCTGTCCCTTTCCCTCTGACAAAGCCCAAAGGTTCCAGCTTCCAAGGCAGAACTGCCCTTGCACTGTGCTTCAAGCCTTCCAAATCACCCACTGCCTGCACTGTTATGCATTTGTGTCTCAATTGGCCAAGCCCCCTGATGGGGACAAGCAGGCCAGCATCCCAGGGGTGTATTTATCTGACACTGCTAGGGTCCCCAGGGTCCTGTTTATCCCAAAGCAACACAGAAAAGAGGTCACTGCTTCCAGCCAACAGATGCAAATCCCTGCAAACCCCACAGCATTTGACCCAGAGACTGGGGCCAGGCAGGCGGCTGGAGTCAGAAATAAATCTGGCAGAGGTCAGAGGGGGCTGGGAAAAAGGGGCACAGCAAGCAAGGCCTAAGTGGTGTGTGTGTGTGTGTGTGTGTGTGTGTGTGTGTGTGTGTGTGTGTGTGTGTGTGTTGTGAGACAGAGGAAGGGAGACTGGGACAGAGGGCTCGGGCGGGCTCTCACCCACATCGATGACCCGCTGCTTGGCGGTGGGCTGCCGGGAATGCCAGTGCTTCCAGAAGCGCAGCTGCTCCACCGGACCCTTCTCGTTGTCGAAGACCACCATGACCACACTCTGCAAGCACAGCAGTCACTGTGACCCCAGCCTCAGAAGAGGCCCAGACAGCCTCATCCCTTGCCAGAGCCCGGGTCAAGTGGCCCGGCCCTTTGGCTTAGTTTCCCCCAATCCGTGGCAATGGGCAGTCATACAACAGCACCCTCTCCCTGGGGTCCCTGGCAGGCAGGGCTGACCCGACCCCCGCACCTACTGCCCAAGTACCTTGACTTTGCTGGAGGACAAGGCAAGGCCTTTGCCGCCTGCTGGGGTCCGCAGGGTGACAGGGTAGAACTGGCCCTTGTTGAGGTAGGCCATGGGTGACTCACCCGATTTGATGTGGATGGCTTTAGGGGAGCCCAGGGTGTACTCAAAGTCACTGCGGGGAGGAGGGAGAGGAGAATGAGGCTGGGCTTCCAGGCAGGAGTATCCCAAAGGGCAGTAGGGCAGGAAGCCCAAGGCTCTGCTATGGCCTTATTATGTGACCTCAGTAAATCACTTTACTTCCTGGGGCCTCAGTTCCCTCTTTTTCAGAGTTTCTATTTAATGGCTTTGTTGAGCCACAATCCTCCTGAATAATGAATAATGGAAACCAGAGACCCCTGAGGGGTGACAAAGTTATAGGGGAGACTAGGACAACAGAACCTTGGTTTTCTAACAGGGTGCTGAGCTCTGAGGTCCTTGTCACAGCCCAGGAAAGGGATGTAGAAATGACTCTCTTCTTTTATGTGCCTTCACTCCCCTCTTTTTATTCACTGACGATGCCTGTTCTGGGGACAGTAGGGTCTTTCTGCAGCCCACTGCCCAGGTGGCCAAGGGTCCAGGGAGGCTGACTTACCTCTTGGGGCTGGGATAGTCCTCTGGACATGGGGGTTCCGGGGATGTTTTCAGGATATCTGGGAAGAGCAGCGACTGCAGAGAAACACAATCCAGAGAAAATAAATGACCACATTCAGTTCTGCTGGGACCTCAGCCCAGGGCCACTGCATACAACTGTGAAGGCTGTATAGTGTACAACCTGGACAACAGTACATGGCAGCCCTGCCTCAGCTCAAGGACTCTTTCTCCCATGGATTCCAAAGCTTTGACCGCCTCACTGTCTTCTCTCCTTCTGTACACGTGTGACTAGACCCAGGGAGGCTGTGAGGGATATGGGGGTGGGCCCTCACCTCCTGTGGGTCATCTTTGAAGGTGCTGTCAGGCTGCCAGCGCTGTGTGGGAGGCACCCCATGAATGCTCTCAAACAAGGAGCTGAGGGAGCCATTATCATACACATCACTGGTGGGCAGCAGGTAGCCGTCCACAGAGCCAGCTTCCAGCTTGCTGGGGCCTGGGGTGAGGAGAGCTGCCTTGCCCGGTGTGGGTGCAGCCCCCTCCAAGCTCATTAGGTTATTCTTCTTGAGCACATCTGGGTACTCTGGGGCTCCAGACACATTCTCTGTCAGGAATTTCATGAGGTGCGTGGGACTTTCAAGTGGGGTGAGGTCCATCTCATATTCCATGCCATGGTAGTACCTGAGGAGAGACAGGAGGGATAAGTGGGTGCACCTCTTCTCTCTGACGGGCGGGAGTTCCTTGGCTGGATTGGAGAGTGACCATCACACTGACATACTGACCTCTTTTAATCCATTGTAATGTTAGGTCTTACCAACATGTGTGAAACACGATACTGCAGCAAGCCAGTGTGTCACAGGGATGAGCAGGGAGGAGGGTGTCAAGAATGGAACCAAGTACAGGCTCAGAGTTCAGGGGGCAAATGTCTGCTTTATCCATTACAGTACTTGGTAATTAAAAAAACTGAAAGTTTAAGTATTTATTTCTTATCCAGAGTCAAATGTCTCCACACTAAAAAAAACCGTATTGAGTCATCCATGGTGTGGGCAAGAGTGGGTATTTGTGAGTACAGTTAATGTACGTTGAGAAAAAGTTCCGAAAGGATATACCCCAAACTATTAAGGGGGGCAGGGAAGTAGGATTACAAGAAACTTACTTTTTTACTTTATTTATTTTTTAGCAAAAATAACAGTGTCTTTAATGCATTTAATTTTACAGAATCCAAAGAATTTTTACATATGGTCCTCACTTGGTTGTCAAAAGAGCCAGATAGACTATTTTCACACATAAGGCCCAGAGATTCACATAATCAGAGACACTGAGTGAACACACAGACCTTATAATAAGATGATTCTATTATCAGTGGGTGGTCTCCTTTAATTGTGCCAGTCTTCCATTCCCACCACCATACTTCTGTTTCTCAATGCCCAGCCCCAGTATGGATATTTATTTTTATTTATTTATTTTTTTTGCGGTATGTGGGCCTCTCACTGTTGTGGCCTCTCCCGTTGCGGAGCATAGGCTCTGGACGCGCAGGCTCAGCGGCCATGGCTCACGGGCCCAGCCGCTCCGCGCCATGTGGGATCCTCCCGGACCGGGGCATGAACCCGCATCCCCTGCATCGGCAGGCGGACTCTCAACCACTGCGCCACCAGGGAAGCCCTGGATATTTATTTTGTAACTACACCAAATTTATTTTTAAAAAGTAAACTAAATTTAAAAATAGTTACAACTATAGGTAGTTTAATTATTATAATTATACAAATATTGTTTCCTGGCTGGCCAAATATTTTACTATAACTTTTCTTAGAACAACTTTTGTTGTTATTGGAATTATGATATTAACGAGTTTTTTCATTTTATAATTTTCTACTTGTCTATTCATAATTTCCCTAAAACTGTCATACACCTATAAACAATTTTCTTCAGATGAACAAGTATATTATGTAATCCACCAGTTCATTCCTCCCTCCTCCCCTTCCTTCCTTCCTTTTTTACTTTATACGCTTCTACAGAGTTTGAATATTTTATAACAAGTAGGTATTATTTTATAATCAGAAAAGCTAACAACATTTTAAAAAATTAGTTTTGAGAAAAGTCTCCTGCACCAAAGCCTACAGTTTCTAGCAGTGGAGGGGCCCTGAGGCAGCTGCAAGAGTCGCAATGCCTGCCTTAGCAGTTTGGATGTTCTCAAAGGCAGAGAGGAGACCAGAAGGTTTCCCATCAGAAGCCCTGCCCAGTGGGGGGAAAGGAAAAGTGGAGAAAGGGGGCAGGGCCCTTCCAGTGCCCATCTGGCCATGAGCACGGCCTGGGCTGCTTTCTACAAGAAAAGGAACATCAGTGCCCCGAGGCACTAATGCCAGGCAGAGGCCCAAGAGAGCCAAGGGAAAGAAATACGGGAACATAGGTGTCCCCTCCCTTTGAGGCTGCAGGGAGGGTTTTGGAGCTAGGACAGAAAAGCTTCCATCAGGGCTTTTCCACCACTATGGCTTTGAAGTTTGTTTTCAGTAAACTCCAGCTCACATGGCCTACAGGCACCTAGGATGTGTGTGTGTGTGTGTGTGTGTGTTTGTGTGTTCAAGCAAGGTCTCACTATGATTTTGTGGGCCCTACTCTCTTTTGCCTTCATAGATCCCTTCCTCCATAAAAATATTTTAAAAACCTTTTACAATTGCACTGGTATAAATACAAATATAACCCAGGTTGGATCATATTCATTGTTTTCTTCTGACTTTAAAATAGATTACAATGCCTTCGTGGGCCCCTAAGAGTACGGTGGGCCCTAGGGACTGTACCTCCTGTGCCCAGGGGATAAGGGGCCTAGAGGTGGGGGTGGGGAAGGGCAAAGGGACAGAGATGGTGGCGCCGGCGAGCCTCACCTCTTTCCTTGGTCGTTCCGGCCCCCAGTGCTGGAGGATAGTAGTCGCTTCTCCTTGGGGCCCTGAGAGGAGAGGAAGCAAGGATTTATGCATAGCTCTTGGGTAAGATCTGGCTGTTAGGAGCCTCAACCCCTTCCGGGGGACTTGGCTGGGCAGGGTAGCTACCTTGGTCACTGGGAGAAAACCCACCAGTCCTTCGAATTGTCAGGCCATCATTTAGTCTGAGCCCCAAGTTACAGAGTGGGGAGAAGTACCCCAAGATTAGCAGTTAGGAATCATGGAATTTGGAGTCAAGCAGGCCTAGCTTAAGTTCTAGCTTTACCACTTAAAAGTGCTGTGTGACTCTGGATAAATGACTGTGCTTTTCTGAGATTCAGTTTCTTCATATGTCAAGTGGGCGATTATGAACTCTACTTCAAAGGGATTGTGAAGATTTATTAATAAAAATAATGTTCACTGTTTTTTAATGGAGTACTTCCTATGCACTGGACCCTGTGCTATGTGCCTTCTCTGCGTCCTCTAATCTAATCCCTACAACTCCTCTATGATGTCTACTAATGTTATCCCCATTATATGGATGAGGAAACTGAAGGCAAGAGAGGCTCCGTCATCTTAGTGATTAGGAGTGTGGACTTATTGGGTTTAGTCCCTAGATCTGCCACATATTGGCTGTGTGATCTTGCGCACCCCTCAACCTTCCTGAACCTCATTGTTCTCGTGTGTAAACAGGAGTAATAATAGTAACGCCACCCCTGGGACTGTTGTGGGTGTTTAGACCAGCACCTGACTCATGGAGGGGACTGTGTAAATGTTACCTTTCATGATTATGATCATAATATTGTTGTATCTTAGAACATCCAGGTCATTTCCCCCTGAGGCTAATAAAGCCAGAACAAGGTCTCCGACCCAGCCTAGTGACTCCAATGCCTGGGTTCTTAGTCTCACCCCGTGGAAGAGCATGAGGAAAGGCGCCTGGCACAGTAACCAGCATTCGGTAAGGAATGGTAAGCGCTCACGTTTAGGACTATATTGCCCAAAGCCACATTGCCAGCTTGTGGTAGGAACAGGTCTCGAACTCCCAACTTGGTGCTCTTTCCACACCATTAGATCATGTCTTTACTATACACAGTGCTGCTCTGAATCTAACATGCTCTGGGATGGGAAGAGGGGGCCAGGTGTATCTCACCGGAAACTATATTGCAATAAACCACTGCAAGTGTCACCTTCAGAGCCTGTCCCCACCACTCTGGCCCTGGGAATGGCCTCTTGCCTAGGGGAGATGGTGCTAGATTTTATTTTACGGCCCAACCTCAAGCTATATATCCCAGGCTGGAGTTTAAGCTCAGACCTAGAATTCTGGCTCCTACCATGTCCCCAGGCTGAGGCAGTCAGCTCCAATTTCTTTTCCATCAAATGCTATGAGGATGTTATCAGTCTGCTGGGGAGAAGGTAAGGTAGGGTAACCATACTACTCCAGGATGAGAACCAAAGCCAGGGAGATAATTTGGGGCTTTCTCATATCTGAGGCCACTTCCCCCCTTGGCCTCTGAATTTACAGAGAGTTTACCTTCCTTTGTGTAGTAGAACAGATAAACTACTTCTTGGGCCTGTGAATTTGAGGGCTTATTTACAAGGTGGCTTTAAATCTTCAAGTTCAGATTCAGTTATCACAACATTTAGCTATTCATGTCCCCCAGCCTGAGATCTGGGAAAGTCCCTTGGAGCAATAACCCAGCCTAGGAAGAGTAAGAAAGTTTGCTGTCATATGACAATTCAGACAGATGGGTAGTGGCTGCCTGGAGTACTAGGTTGAAAAAGATTTTGTGTCCTCATATACCCTCAGTGAGAATACAGTTTGTAATCCATTAGCAATGTCTGGCACAGGCACTGGAAGAGGGGTGATGGCGTATGTTATGTACTTGTGGTTATTGACAGGTTTAAGCACACTCACCGTATATGACAGGGCCTAATTCCTGTTCTCAGGAACTGAAAGTCTCCCAGAGTCAAGGCCAAGGCCCAGGAAACAATTAGAGAACAATAAAAGATGGTCTGTCAGGAGGTATTACAATGCATATAATGGCAGCGAGCGTATGAACGACAGTGAGACACTCAGGAGAGGGAGAGGTGATGTGGCAGCATGGCTTCCAAGAGAAGGTGGGCCTTGGGAAGGGCCCTGAAAGAAGGGAATGGATTCAAGAGCAAAAGGCATGTTCTAGGTGGTGAGGTTAGAATAGGCAGGTGGGGATGACAGGGCAACTGGGATGACCTAAGGTACAGGGGCAGAAAGAAGATGGTAGGTTGGGGGTATTGCTGTGGTGTGTAAGGCCAAGGCATTGATCCATTCAATCAATATGTATTGAGCACTGTGTGGCAGGCAGTATGGGGTGCTAGGGGCTCAGTAATGATCATGACATGACTCTTGCCCTACAGGAGCTCAGTGTCATGGGGGAGATGGAGGAATAAATGCACAAACAGCAAGTTTCTAAGGAGAGCTTCAAGGAAAAGGATGGTGGTTGCTGAGGGTGCCCAGAGGAGGCACGGAATGGGAGACCCCAGAAACCCTTCCTCACCTCCGGTGGAACGAGCTGACATTGAAGCTGAGGCCCAAAGCTGAGAGTACGGTTTAGCTAGGGGGAAGGGGAGGGTACCAGGCAGAGGGAACAGCATGTGCAAAGGCCCAGAGGTGTGAAAGAACATGGTGAGGGGCTAGGGGTGGTCATGGTGGGCTAGTGAGCCATGAGGCCTGAAAGCGAAGACACACAGTCAGTTAGAGGGGGGCATGCCCAGAGGTGGCAAATGTACCATGTAGTAATCGTAGAGGAAGCTCAGGGCTGCAACGCTCTCATCGTCTCCATTGACTCTCATCATGGCCTTCGTGGCCGCTGTCAAGGGATTTTCAAGGTAGGTCTTCCAGGCCTCATCCTCGTTAGTGTAGGGGAATTTCTGGAAGTTAACTGGGTCGTTCTTTAGCAGCCGTACAGATCTGAAACTGAAAGGCAAATAAGGAAGGTCAAGTTTAGGCTGTCCCAGCAGAAGTTCCGTGAATGGTCAGCCTCAGAGCAACACCCAGGAATTCAGAGAGTTACCAGCCTTGAAAACTTGAAACTGCTTCTTCTGTCATCATTGGGCAGATGGAGCATGTATCCAAACTCTGGAGCCAGATGCTTTGGGTCACCACCAAACGTTACCATGTAGAAGCTGTAGACCTGGGGCCTCATTTCCCTCATCTACAACATGAAGACTGTAATCCCAACCTCTCAAGGCTTCAGAGAAGATTCAGTAAAATGCTCCCATGGTAGATACTTATTCAAGGGGAATTAGTGTAACAAGGATGGGAAATAACAATGACAGGCTGCAAAGAATAAAATTTCCAGGTAACTCAGCATGAGTTCTTCTGATGAAATTCTCCTCAAGATGGAGAAAGACACAGAAGTCTAGAGATTATTTCAACTTAGAGAGTGTGGTGAGGGACAGAAAGAGCCAGAGCAAGGAAGCCCATAGGCAGAACCTGGTCTTGGGAAATGGCATTTCAGATCAACATTTATTGTAGAGTGGCCAAGCAGCTGCTCAGCTGCCAGGAACTGGAGTGGGGTGCTGCAGGGCACCCCTAGGCAGGCAGAACCTGGGCACTGCGCTGAGAACTTGGACAAGTACAAGCCACATAAGCTCAAAGGCAAGAGATCAGGAAAGACTCTTTGGAGGAGGCAGACATTTTAGTTGGGAACCCTCAGCACGGGGGATTATATCACTCAGATATGTAGGGTGAGTGTCCCAGGAATAGGAACATAATACAGATTAATGACGATGATGAAAATAATGTCTAATCTTTATTGAACACTGACCATGTTTTAGGCACTGAGCTAAGCACTTTTCATGGATTATCTCATTTAATTCTCACAACAACACTGTGAGGCATGTACTATTATTTTCCCTATTTTATACATGAGGAAACTGAAGCTCTGAGAAGTTAAGGGAGTTGCCCAAGGTCCCAGTTAGTGGGTTAGTGAGTGGCCCAGAGGGGATTCAAGCTTGAGCAGGATGATGCTGTAATATAGAATAGCGTTCTCAAACTTCCACTGCAACAGAATGACATGGAAGGCTTGTTAAAACACAGATTTCCAGGCCCCACCCCTAAGTTCCCTGGTAATGCTGATGCTGGTAGTTTGGGGACCACACTTTGTGAATCACTGGTGTAGAACATGCTCTTAATCATGAACAAGGGCATAGAGGTGGGAAAGTTCTGGTTATGTTCACTTTAGAGCAAAGAATGTGTGAAGGATACTGGTAGGGGAGAAGCTGGGGACAGCCAGGCTGAGAAAAGAGAACTCCTGAGACTGGTGTCCTGGTGCCCCGGTGCCCCCCTTTCTAGGTGAGTCTCATAGATTCTCTAATGTTAGAGACATAGGAATAATGCCAGCTGCCATTTACTATACTATATATGAACCCTTTCCACTCATCAGCTCTGCTCCTTACAAGAACCTTACGGGTAAGGATCATTTGCTGCAGTTCACAGATGGAGAAACCCGAGACTTGGAGGAGATAAGAAAATGCCCCCAAATCACCCAACTAGTCCATGACACAACCAGCATTTAAACCCAGGCTTGTCTAGTACCAAAGCCACACATTTTCCACTAAGCCACACAGCTTTACCATAGCGCAAGAGGGCAATCCCTACCACAACAGAAAAATGCTCTAGTTGCGGGATTGCAGGCACTGCGGCAGACTGGTGGGTGGGCAAGGACCTTCACAAATCACACCACAGGAAGTGCCCTCCTGCTGCCCGGCGGCTCAAGCCTACATTCTCAGACACAGAATGGCAACATCAGCCAGGCCGCACCCAGACAGGCCGAGGGTGGCACTCTCCCAGGGGCTTCTTCCAGGGCAGTGTCTCCCATCTCACTGAGCCCCAGGGTGTGGGGTACTGGGCTCTGAAAGGGAGGGAGAGGGAGCTATCACACAGGAAAGAGAGATGACAGAAACCTTCCTGCTCCAGGGGCATGTAGAGGGAGGCACACCTCAAGTTTCTGCTTCTATAAATCAAGGGCCTTAAGATGGAGAGGCGAGAAAAGGCCCCTCCCAGCGGCCTCCTGGGCCTGGGGTTAGAGGAACTTACAGAGCAAGCCCAGGTGGCTGCCCCCAACCCCTCCCAGTACCAGCCTAAACGGAACTCCTAAACCAAGGGGGCACAGGAGAAACAGGGGAAGGCCTGGCGGACCACTCTCTGGGTCAACAAGGCATCCCAGTGCTTAGCGCCGCTGCTTGTTTGTGAAATGTGTCTATAAAAGCGCCCCCCATGTAGGATGATGAGGACTGAGTGCGGCACCACAGGAAAAATGCTTGAAGCGGTCTCCGGCACATAACGAGTGCTTAATGCAAAGAGAATGACGTTGCCATGCCACGGAAAGGGTATGCTTTACAGAACGCTCTTTCCAGAATGTCAAAAATCTTGAGCCTATGGAATCTTATGCTGTATTTTGGTCTTCAGGTGTTGAAATAATTCCTCATTTATAATTTCTAATAAAGGAGTAATATGCCAAAAAAAAAAAAATTGTGCTCTCGGCCCAGCCTGGAGCTAGACATCAAAGGGTTGCAACGTGGTACAAGACATGGCCACCCTGAAAGTCACTGGCAGATCTGGGCCTGGAGCCCCAATCTGCTGACTCTGGTGGAATGACCATTATCGGCTTTGATGAGCTATCAGTTATCTTACCCTATTCAAAAGTTAATTTTTAGAAGACAATGATAAAGTTACCTCAGAAACGAAAGGACAGGCAATGTTTGCTGTTCATTTGGAGGGTTTTTCTAGTCTACAGTGGTCTCCAATCCATCCTGTTGGGATCCCAAAGTCTGATTCCTTGATACACAGCAGCTACCATACCTCAAGAATTTACCATAGGTAGACACTGTTCCACCTATTATTCTGCATCATCTTATCTACTCTGCACAATAGGTTTAGGGGAAGTTGAGACTCAGGTGATATTACCTGCTCAAGGTCACTCAGCTAGTAAGTGGCAGAGGCTTACCTTGAACCTGGACTTGTTGGACTCCAAGACGCAGCTCTTAACCCCATGCTAGTCTCCTTTCAAATGCCTCTTTTATTCTGGCAATTCCCCTCCTCTGGAATAAACTGAACCAATCCTCCACTGCAAGACAGAAAGGGATTTCCCACCCACACAAGTCAAGAGGGACTGAGTGAGGAAGTGTGATGAGTGGAAGAGTTCCTGGCCGGGCGCTGGGAGCTCTAGAGTCCTGGTTCCCAAGTACGCTACCAATCAGTGTCACGTTCCAAGACTACGCATTTGGCTTCTAGAAAGCCTTGGCTATGGATAAGGTTAGTTAGCCTTGACTCAGTGCCAAACACGGATCCAAAAACTTTTGGCTCCCTGTTCTCTTAAAGATTAGAATTGAGAGTTGAGGGTGCAGTGGGTAAGGATGTGAAAAGCGTTCCAGGAAGGAGTGAGCCCTACTAATGGGAGACAGAGCCAGAACAAAGAGGGAAAACCAGCTGACTGGAACCTATGCGGTCACCTTCCCCGAGGGCCTCCACAAACTCTCTGTTGGTGTCCCTGTCCAAGGCCAAACTCCTCAGCCATCAGAAGGTGAAAGGGGAACGGGGGAGGAGGGTATAGGGAGAGGAAGTGGCTCTGGGCAGCCTTCTAGCCATCAGGTCTCCACCAGGCCGCAGCACAGAAGAATCTGTAGCACCATGGGAGGAAGGAGCAACAGGGTCATAGCCTGACAGACCCGAGTAACCATGTGTCCTTGGGTCAGGTACTTAGCCCCTTCAAGCCTATTTCCTCATCTGTTAAATGGGGTCTATTGAGAGTCTTCTGTGTGCCAGTCAGGGACTCTTCTAGGCACTGGGGAATCAGCCAAGAACAAGACAGATAAGGCTCTTCTCCCTTTGGAATTTGCAATCTAATTGGGGAAAACAGATGGTAAACAAGTAGATAAATGAGTTAATTTTAGTTAGTGATAAGTGCTGTGAAGAAAATTAGAGCACAGTCATGTGATGGAGTTACCAGGGCTGGCTACTTTAGAGTGGGGATAATCTCATGGGTTGTTGGGAGAATTAAGTACATTAACATAAGAAATGTGTTTGGCCCAGAACCTGCCAGAGAATCATAGCTTAGTAAATAATTGGCATCATCATCACGATCACCATCTTCTTAGAACCCCCAAATGAAAGTAAAGCGGAGACTCTGCCTGAGGTTCTTAAACTAACATCCTCTCCAAGCCTCCTGTTTGTGAACCAGGTTCCACATCAAAAACAAAAGAGACAATGTAATAACCCCTTGCCTTGATTTTCACATTCATTATCTCGTGGAGCCTCCCGACATACATGACATGTTATTACCTCTACTTTACAACCAGGAAATAGACAAAGGAAAGAGACGTTAGGTGACCTGTTCCAGGGGACTGGCTGAGTGAGTTACAAAGCGAGACTCCTGGAATCTAATTCCATGACTAGTCACTTTTCCACCAACCACTAGTTTCCAAGAAGGGATGTAGAAGAGAGGGGAAAAAACAATAAATCTGGGTGACATCCATCCACCTAACCATCTATGCTTCATTTTAATAAATATTTATCAATATTTATTATACTATGTGCCAGGCTTTGTCCTAGGCGGGCAACACAAGATCCCTACTGTCATAGAGGTTGCATTTTAGTGGCAGCCAAGGCAGACATGACCACAAAAACAAATGGACAGCTACTATCAGGTGAAGAAAGCTATGAAGGAAAAGAAGCAGGAGGACTTCTGACCTGCCTAAACTTTGGGGAATGACTAGATGTTGGCTGAGGAGAGGGGTGGAGGGGGAGAGGGGCGTGAAGATGGGTGGGGAGGATTTTGGACTTTCCAGGTGAAAGGCAAGACAAAGGCAGAAGCCTGGGACAGCTCCCAGAGCTTGTCTGCCTACTGTGTGACAGGTGTGAGCCAGGTTTTTTGCATATGTTGCCTTGTTTCAAGGAAGGCCAGCCCATTAAGA